CAAGGCAGTGGAATTTATCTCCCAGAATTAGATGAACCAGAGCATTGCAATGCCCAGAACACAGCGCTCTGGGAGCTGCATCTACTGCAGGTTTGTGAGTAACTCAGGGATTTGGGAAGTAACAGCAGTAAATAGCTGCTCAATGCTTAGGTGCTTTACACAAATGGAGAGCAGAGGTCTTCAGGCTTATCTGTCAAATCCCGGCCCATATGAGCCTATTCCAACACAGTGGTATGGAAGGATGAGCTCAAAAGGGGATGTTACACATCCCCTATTATAATACCACACTGGTTTGTACTGCAGGTTGCCTTGTTAGATTCCTTTGGAGACTTTTTAGATCTGTTAAGTTCCCTTGCTGTCCAGCTCTTCTTCCAAGAGGAACTGACACCTTGATCTGTCATTCCAGTCAGGGTTTGGAGAGGACTTCCTCTGCCCTTTGTCCCTGTTCTCTGGGAGTAGGAATTATCTAACTGTGGAGAGTCATGCTCACAGCATGATATGGGGGAATAAATGCCTGACATTAATCCCACAAACTGACTGATTTTGAGGTACTCAGTTACTAAAATAAAAGCAGACCTTCCATCTTATGAATTGGAAATAAACATGAGATTCTGTAGAGAAATACATTATCCCTTACTGCCTGTCTATTGCCTTCATTCTTCCTTTCTTTCAGAGACATTATCATCCAACAGTGCAGAAATTTGCGTCTCACCTTATTGCTGGAGCTCCAACTGAAGGCTCAGGAGTTCTTCCACTTGATTTGAGCCAAAGGTGAGTTATCAAAGAGTTCCTTTTTTAATAATAGGTCCTGAAAGGAAGCTGTTGCTTATACTATATTAAAGGAATCCCTAAAAATAACCTAAGACTCTGATCTTCAAACTCTTTCTTCTTCTGCCAGTACAGAATGCAGAATGCTGGCTTGCCCTTTTTTTTTTCTCTCCCTTTTTTTTCCCCTTTCTTTTCCCTTTGGAGACTTGTTGCCAGGCTGTGACAAGGGTAAACATCTCAAAGTGCAGAGTGTTTTCTTCCCCTGGGAGCAAAATACCTTCAGCTGCAGTCCTGATCTGAATATGGATCAGGATCACTGAACTGGGGCTGTCCAGAGGAAACTAGAACCCAAGCTGCAGTGTAAGGTCTGTAGCAGCTTAAAACATGAGAGCAGCCATCCAGGCTCAGACTAAGATCTAATTCAGCATCCAGTCTTTGGCAGTGGCTGGCAGCAGGTGCCTTGTGAAAAGTAAAACCAGGGCATTCACATGAAACATGCCCTGAGCAGGCCTCTGGCAGGTTTCAGCCTGGTGGATTTCCTGAACCTGAGACCATTTTCTGTTAGTACCCCTCTCTTCATGGAGTTCTTTCCAAACTGTTCAATGTCCCTTGAATCCTAGCACACATTCTGCAAATGCAGCACTGTTGGTCAGAGTTCTGTGAATCCACAGCTCCTCATGGCAAGATCTGCTTTCTGTTGTTTTGAACCTGCTGCCAGTTTGCTTTATTTGGCAGCCCCTGGTTCTTGCTCTGGGAGCTGAAGTGCACACGCTGCTCCATCACTCTTCCTGTGCCTCACAGGGTTTGGCAGACCTCAGTCATATCATACCTCCACCCACTGTCTCTGCTGGATGGAGGGATCCATCCACCTCACACAGGAGCTGTTCCATATTTTCCATACACTTCACTGCATGTTCCTGAACATTTATCAATTTAAGCATTTCAAGATGAAATTGGAGACTCAGTTGCAATATTTGAGATGTGGGTGATCTATGGATTTATACACTGATGTAACTAATTTCTATTGTGTTCTGTTTCAACTCCAAACAGCATTAAGTCACAATCCCATAAAAGTATCTGTCATAACAAGAAGATAATTTTTTCTCTAAGTGATAGTGTCTGCTCAGAGCCTACTGTTTTTATGTTGAGTTGCTTTTTCCAACACTAAATTTCATTTGCCACTTAACTGATCATCTCATACAGTCTGTCTGCAGTTTTCTACAGGTAGCTCATTCTTACTACTACAAATAACTTGGGATTCTCCAGCTCTTTTTTGAACATGTTAGAAAGTGCAGGTCCTGGAAAAAGCCTTGTGGAGACCCAGTTTCTTCCTGCCATTACAAAAAATGACCATAGACTCCTGTCCTGTTTCCTGTGTTTCCTATCTTCTAACCAGTTTTTTTCTGTTACGGTCCTCCCTGTTCTCCCATGGTTGTTTTTTTAAAACCCTTTGGCAAGGAACTGTTGGAAATTCTGGCAGATTGTGTCAGCTAAGACTGTCTTTACCTACCTTTTTTTTCCCCCCCTTTTTTTTTCAAATATGTACAGATCACAGCTCTGGGAACACAATGGTTTTCTTGTGTGTATTTAGACACATTTTACTTAATTTCACTTGCATTATTTCCCAGCCATTGGCTCCTGATTTTTTCCAGGTGATGCTCATTACTCTGAGGAGTTCTCCTAAAGTATGATGGAGGGGGAGAGTGGGGTTTGTGTGGGATGCTGCTCTTGGATTGGTGATAGATCAGCTGAAGTTGTATTTGTCCAATGCCATTTTTCTTTCACTGTTTATGTACTGTAGGTCTGCTACAGAACTTTTTGAGACATACTGTATGAAAGGAATGACCTTTAATCCTCCTGTTGCATCAGTAGCACCCAGAAGAAAGGTACTGTTCTCATTTCTAACCATGTGACACACCAATATAACCTGTATCTGCTGGCTCACTATGCAGTGCCCAGGCATTGGCACACTCTGTCTGGCTTTCTGGTTTCTGTACTTTCTGCATAAAGTACATTTTTTTAAACTGGGGTAAGATAGGACTGAGTATAAGGAAGGGAAAAATATCTGTATAAATAGTCCTACCTCCCACAGCATCAGTTAACATAGCAAGATTAATATGGTAGCTGTTATTTTGCACTTTGCAGTGGTTCAGTGCAGATTTCTTGGCTCTTTTCTGTAACGATGAACTAATGTTTGTTCAAAAAGCAATAATAAAAAGCCAGATCTTTCCCCAGGGTGGGTAGTTGCCAAGACAGCTGGATTTCCAGAGTGTTTGATTCAGCATGTTGAGGGATACTGATCCCTGTTAGTGTCACTACAGCTCTAAAGTGGAAATTTGAGGGGAACAAAGGGTTAATGTAAAAAGAGGAGAAATGGGGGAAGTGTGTTTATATCCTCAGTGCTGGATGTGTTCCAGATGCCAGCCTTCATTAAGTGTCCAGTTAGTGGTGTGTCCTTTAAAAAGTGATAATTTTCCTTCTTTCTAATGCAAACATTATAACCTATTAACCTTGTCAGTGCTCCACTTTGTAACTCAGTAATGTCAGCTGAAGCCTTGAGAGCACAATTTTTTTTTTCATTTTAGAGAAGCAACTTCTGAAAATGTGTTTGTACTTAACTTACTCAGTTGTTTTATAATGACTCCCTGATATGTGTGTCCTGCTGGGGAGTTATATGAGCAGCTCTGACAGAGCAAGGCTGAGAACAGCAGATGGGAGAAAAATAAGGGTTGAGTAAGGAAATGCACAAGCTCCTTTAGGGAGTAGAAACAGTGGAACAGCAAGATCACAAAGTGTCCATAGATGGCAATCTATAATGGACCTAAGTGGGAAAATTACCTTGGGGTCTTGCCTGCTCTATGACTGTTTGGCTCATTTAACAAATTTTGGCAGTTACCTGAGTTTTGCCCTCTGTGTTCTGCATGTCCTGTGTGTGCCAGGCTGCCAGGGGTTCAGCATCTCTCTGCTTTTGACAGAAGCTCCAAACTGGAGCCCTGTGCACCACTAAAGAGAGGTTCTCATTTCTCCATGAGTGCACAAAGTACTTGGCTCTGGAAATTTTAAGACTTTCACAGGGAAATTTAAATCATGTGCTTGATCATAATTTTTTATTTGAGCACCAGGAAAATGCAGAGCTCCAGGTGTGGCTGGAGGCAGAAGGCTCATGGGATTCCTTTCTGACTCACAACCTGTGCTCTGAGCATTGTTGCCTTTTGGTCAGAGATGCTTGATGTATAAATGTGTGCTGTCACCAAAGTGTGCTTGATCTGAATTTGTAAGGTGTGTTGAACAGGGGGCAGTGTGTGAGCCCCCACTCCGAGCTGGAAGCCATGGCTGTGTGTTTTAGGTAATCTTCTAAAGCCCAGCTTAGCACAGAGCAGAAAAGCCTCACCAAACCCAGGAGCTTATGAAGGGCTGCCTGACACGGTGCTTGTCAGATGAACAGGTCTGGCCTAGACATCTGGGACCAGGAGAGACAAACAAGACTACTAAACTAAGGTAGGCATGGAAAACATGGCCCTGTTTAGTAATAGAACTCCTATTTTGTTATTTTCAGGATACCTTCTTGCAAAGGGATTCATTTGTAGATGAAGAACTAAACAAACAGCTTCAACAACACATCATTGAGACTGGTGCTCACAAACCCTTGGATTTTGCTAAGCACTTGAAGGAATCATCCTTGGCATAAATGTACCTATCAATCAAGTTCACTTGGATTCTTAATTATGGAGAAAGATTGGTTGAAAGAAATCACCAGTCATCATAAAAGGAATACAAGCAGGCTTTTGTGTGAATATAGAAACACACAAAAATATAACAGCAGTTTTTCACACAGTTACAGGCCTGTCCCCATAACCACCAAGCCCCTGTTCAGGGGGCTGGGGAATCACAATGAACTGTCATGTCAGTGTTCTAAAAATATACAAACCCAAGTAACTTAAGAATTGTTTGCAACCATGCACAGTTGTATTTTTGTTTATGTATTTTTCTAAATTTTATAACAGAATATAGACATATGTGTTTGTGCAAACTCACTGGGTTGTGCTGATAACTTAATAAATATTTTGAAAATGTTAACATAATACTGACTTTTTGATGTCTAAGTTACATTTGGAATATGTATTGCATTTTTCCTGTTTTTCTTCTGATGTCTTCTAACCATTTACCTCATCTTGAAATGATTTTATATTTGGTTGTTTTTTCCTTTCTGATGAATCTTGACACTGGCAAATTAAGAACATTGAATTTCAGTTCTAAGCTGTCATCATGATTGAATGCTCTACTGCTGTGTGTCTTCAGTAAAGCATTGCTGTCAAGAATACTGGACAAATACAAGGTAAGAATGTTTAGAATGTTTTTGGGGTTGTTTTTGGGTGTTTATTTTTTTTTTTTTGGTAGGTAATTCTCTCCACATTCTCCAAATATTATTTATTGTCTGATTGTTTTAGAATCCATTTTCAGCTGCATGTTGGCTTTGCAAAGAACAGGTGAAATATATGAAATAATTTAAAGGTGAGTATTGTCTTTATGTGAATTCCATTGTACAGGGGGGGAATGTAGTGGGCTGTCCCTGGTGACAGCTAATGCACTTCTGTAGTGCTTAATCTGTGATGTGATAATGGCATGTGTGTAAGTTTTGCAAAGCTTTCCTTTATGTCAGAAAATATCTTACTTTCTCTAGGGTATTTAGTCCTTTATCCTGTTTTATGGTTCTTAGATATTTTTACAATTAATTTATTTCTCTTTTAATACGTTTTCAGTATTGATCACAGTAGGTCACCAACTTCCAAGTAATTAAAGATAAATTTACAAATATTTTTAGAACAGGCATCTGTGTATTAAGGGATTAGAAAATACCTATGTATTATATTAGACATATAAAATACCTATGTGTTATATTGTATTTACTGTGTGGACTACAAACCTGCATGCATAACACTGGTGATTATACACATCTCTGTCTGCTTAGGCTGTCATTCCCATTCATTTTGAGTAGTTCTTTTTAGTTTAATTGTTAAGTGTTTGCAAATACAGATGTGATTTAAATTCTGCAAAATTCCAAGGGGGCCATTTGTCAGTACCTTTGTCAGTTCAGGAAGGCAAAAACAAAGATTCAACATCTTAAACCATTTATTTTTTTACAACATATACAAATATAGTTTATTCAAGTCAGCAGAGAGAAAACAGTCCAGGTGGAAAAGTCACTTTTAAAATTGTTCATTTTACATAGTTTCCAAACATATAAAGACTGGCACATAGTGATGTTGCATTGTCAGAATATTTTAACATGCTCGAAGAGGCAGAGGAAGACAACTGAACAAGTCATTCTGAAAGAGCTTATTGGAGCAAAATCTATTTACTGCTATTTATTTTTGTGTTTAATTTGCTAACTCTGCCAAATGTCTATCACTATTTAAGTTACAAAATATTTATCACAGACAGGAAAAAACTGCCACCATTGGTACATTTAGTGGGCTACCCTAAAAGTAAACTGAGTTTTACAGTGGAATAGTAACAGACAGTGATTAAACACCAAATGTTAATTGAAGCATTTGAAGAGCAGAGCAGACAGCTGAGTTTCAGAAGCTGCAGACTTAGCCTCTCAAGCTACCAGCAAAGTTTTCTCTTTTTGAACATAAACTATGAATGGAAGAGAAAGTGTTCATGAAATATTTGGATATTTCTGTGTTGAAGTGTTTAATTCTCAAAAGCCTGTGAGTTCTAGCAGACACCTTCCTAAAAGCAGCTATTCAGACACCTCACCCAGTAATATTTGTAAGCAAGGAAAAAAAGTGTCCCTAGGTTTAAAAACCCCAAATCTGAGATAGTATTTTTTAGTGTTGTGAGTGCTGTTGCTGGGGTCACTGAGCCAGAAGCAGGAAGGCCTTAGGGCGGCAGAGGAAGCAGCCCTGGAGTGCAGAGCTCTGTGATGTGGTAATGGAGCAGTTCCTAAAGCACAGAGCTCTGCACCCACAGGAGCTGGGACTGCCCAGCTCTTGGCTCTTGCAGTCACACACTGCAAGCACCACGTGCTGCACAGGAAAGGGTAAGAAACTGGTAGAAAAGGAGCAGTTTTTAAACAGTACAGAATAAAATACTTTTGTGGTTTTGCCAATAGGCAATGGAGCAGGAGAAGCAAGAGATTTCTGAAAAGTGAAAAGTGTGCAGTGCAAGGCCTGCTACTGCTCAGAGACTGCATGGTTCTGGAAGATGTTGATTATTTACATTCCTTTCTCTCAAATTTTATCCTGGAAGCTGCTTCCTGTAAATAGTTTGTAATGTAAAAATGAATGTATTTTCCTAATTCATGTCCATACTCAGCCAAAAGCATGGAAAAGGACAAAGTTATTTTGTCAGTTTTGTCATAGGAATGTGTGGAGAGATTCCTGCAGAAATAAAATCTGTGGCTAAACAGAATAAACATTCCTATTAGCATAACAACTTAGCACATGAAAGCTCTTTAACTGGGCTTTCACAAAAGTTAGCAAGTCCCCCTTGCTCTTTAATGCTTCCAGTGGTATTGTATTTCCACTACTTGGAACCAGCCAGAGGAAGGGCACTGCAATTCTTTCCCAAATTCACCCCAAAGTGAATGTTTCACCAAGAAAAGTTTACCTGGATATTTACCAATACCTAAACTTTAAATTAAGTGATGCATGTATTTCAATGAAACTACTGGAACAGGTTCATTAGTCTTACACAGTTCCAGATGTCTACATGCCTACAAAGTTAGGGTTTTTAAATAAAAAGCCAAATATTTTGCTGTTCTCTTTCACTGTGATAAACAGCAGACAAAGGAGGCTTTGACTGTGATTGATGATGAAAATACTTATATTAATAAGCTATTCAAACAGCTAGAAAGATTGTGTTAGCAGAACTAGTACAAAACTGCTGATTTTAAATGTCCACAAGACTTCAGGCTAGTGTTAGGCCTGTGGTGCACAATTTGACATGACTACTGATGTCCCCTTTGCTTCCCCATGATTTTTTTTTAATATCTATGTGACAGAAAATCACTAGGGTGTGACAGTATGGGTATAAGAACTTTCAATGTTGAATCCAACTAATTAGCAAGGGTGTCTGCCAGCCTACTGTGATACTACAGGTGATACTAAGAATTTTCAGAGCTGCTAAAGATAAAAACAGCCCAAAAAACCACACCAACAAAAAAGAAAAAGCTAAACAGGTAAGGGCAAACTACAGGACATTAAGCATTTTTAAAATGCCATAAAAACACCAAAAGGAAAAGTTTCTCAGTGATATCAAACTGCCACTGTGTTAAAATAACAGAGAGAATAAAGCCAACATTTAAAAAATGGTTGCATTAGTTGAATTGTGCAGCAGGTTCATGTATTTCCCAGTAATTCCAAAGTATCCAAAGCAAACTATGCATACAGACCTATGTGGAAGTTGTCACTGCTTAACATTTTGCTGGGGCTCAGTCTTTCCCTTGGGCAGGGTGGGCAGGGAGCACGTGTCCCTCACAGGGGCTGCTGCAGCTGGACCTGGTAAGGAGTGACAGGCTGAGCTGATTGGGGGCTTGACTTGGGTCCTGTTGCTGATTTGCAAAATGCTGCTTTGGTTAAGTTCAAAACTTAACTTTTGTGAAAGATGAGCAGTGGGAAGTGCATGGCCTCTGTGAGGATATGCCACTGAGAAATGTGACTTTTTTGTATGTCTGTGGTTATTTTTTCTGAAAGCTGGAAGTGACCTCAAGAGGGCACTTTTTTGCTTTGGTAAATGGCTACTTGATAGGCAATTCCTGAAGTGTATAGTGAAAGACTTCATAACTTCTGGTGACAGAATGCAGGTTCTGTCTGCTTGTTTATATGCCAGTTAATAACTTTGTCTTCTTTTATTTCACTTTCTTATTCATGGGGGAGATGGCATTAGCTGTCATGAGACTACTGTCTGTAACTTCTTTCTTCTGTTTAGGGTTTGCTCTAGTGAAACAAAACCATGTGCAGAGCAGTTTGTTCCCCACAGACACATTTCTTGTGGGAGATGAAAGGGATGGCAGATGGCAGCAGTTGTTTAATTTGTGCCCCTGTAATGGATTATTTTAATAACTAAAGACGTCAGTAACTCCCATGGAGGGAAAAAAAAATGAGGCTACTATAACTAACTTAGATAACAAAAGATGAATTCAGCACACATAAAACTTCACAATAGTGTTTCTATGTAAACAGAATTGTCAAGAGTTAGAGTGTAAAGTTCTTTATACTCTCTGGGTTTAACAGACAAGTAAAAAGACAGTTCATGACTACCTGGAAAAATGTGGTTTGAATTCAAAATTTTGAAATGTTAATTACACTTATCAATGCCTTGGTTTGAATTTGGTCAGTACTGGGTATTAAACATCTTGTGCTGAAAAGAAAGAACCAGAAAAGTTCTAATGTTTTTTCCTCTAAATCCAGAGAAAGATAAAAAAATCTGCATTTTCTAAAAAGTAGTATATGATAAATATACTATACAAAGGCATGTACTTTGAAACATGATAATAAATATTCTTTCTTTAAACACAAGCCTGGAAAACTAAAATTTATAAGAAGAAAATGTTGTTCCTTGCCAAGGTCTCACTACCAGTAAGGTGTACTCAGCTATTGTACATTATTTTGTTAATGTAGATAAACCATAAATAATTTTGAGTGTTTTCTGTATATTCACCGAAGTTAAACAGGTATGCAAAGGAAGTTACAGTATATTTAAATCTCTTTACAATCACTTAACACAGTGTTTAACAGTAATTGTCAGGTAAAAGTGCGTTATTTTAACATAATACACATAAAAGACCACTCTGGTTCTCTGCCTTCTGAGTCCTTAGAGGCAGCAAGCTAAAATTATCTTTTGTTTAAAAAGGGGAGGCTGATGACACGTGTTTGTTTACAACATACAGTCCAAGAAAACCTCTCCATCCGCCTATGGAGAATCTGCAGATGTGAAGAAACAGGAAGAGAGGAATCTTCTGAGAGCTGACAGGCATCTTTCCCATCTACAGCATCCCATTTAGGACTCCCAGAGTCTGGATGTTAATCCAGCAGTATTGCCTGGATTAAAGCATCTGTAGCACAGGGCACACAATTCTGACCAGTTCAGTCCGCAGCAGGATCCTTCAAAGGCACTGCAGAAGGATTCAGTCATGTAAATTCCACATTTGGATTTCAGAAAAAAAAGGAAAAAAAAAAACCCAAGAAAACACAACAAAACAAAACCCCAGCAAAACAAAACCCAGCCAAATGCAGAAGAGGGAAAGCGACTCTGATTTTCCCATAATTTACTTTGCTTTCCTTGAATTCAGATTGTTTTAATGCTTTAGGGTTTTATAGCAGCCTAAAAATAAGCTTCCTATTTGAAATACTTTGCAAATCAAAACAGTGCCTAAATTCTGTTAATTTAGTGACTTAGCAGCAACATTACAGTGCATGTCAAATAATGCTTTAATGATTAGATGTATACAAAAAAAAATCTTAAATTGGCCATCCGTGAGGTGGGATTATCAACACTGAAAAAGATTTCTTCTTCATTTGCAATGAGCTGCAACTTCCCAGCAGCTGTCACAGTGCTCTAGTAGCAGTGTGCAAGTGTCTGGTTAGTGTACAGTGCTGGGCAAGTGGCACTTACTATCTCCAAATAAATGGGATAGTCTTTGTTGTGTATTTCAGCTGTCTGAAGTCAAGCAAGATGGAAGAAATTGAAGAGATACAGAAAAGCTAGTGTAAATGTTTAAACATTTCTGGCAAAATTTCCACAGACAGAAATTAACACTATAAACTTGCTCTAGCTAAAAAAGAGATCACCAATCCTGATGATTTTATTATCTGGACATAACAAAAAACAATAAAAGCTCTACTGCTCACTTCCATTTGCTGTGGCCCAGAGCAGAAGAATAACAGAGCATTGCTATTTGAGCACAATTGTTGAGAAAAATGAGTACTGCAAAATCAACTGGGATGCAACATTTTGGATTAAATGGACAGAGCAAGTGGGTGAAACTCCACCATTCTGGTTCACTCAGAGACCTTCCTGCTGTTATCGTGCCTGTGCACACCAGTGTCTGAGGCTTTTCTGGATCATTCTGTCAGTGCTTGTACCTCACTTGGTTTGCTCTGCTCCAGCTTGGGAGCAGGAATCCTCTGGGATTGCTGCTCTGAAAGGCTGCCCAGAGCTGGGCTCAGTCTCCCGTACCTGGCAGGCCGTGCTGTGGCAGCAGCCAGGACTATTCCATGATGTCACTGAAGGCCAGGGCGCAGGCGGCTCGCTCCTCCCTGCCCTGGCCACCGTCCGACACGAAGCCCCGGTACTGCTTACTCGACTTGGTCAGCTTCTTCAGCTCACTGGTGAAGGAGATGCCTCTTCTCTTGTCATCCCGTGCTGCCTGGAAAGATTAAAAAAGATCATAGAGGTGGTTTAACAGCTGCTTGTTCGCTGGGAAATAAGGAATGAATATGAAAACACCTGACATACTGCTGAGCAGGCCTCCCTTTAGGAACTCAGTACGGCTGTGCTTTCATCCAGGCACTTCCTTCTGATTGTTCTGAATCAATTAATTAAAAGTTACGCATTTTTATAGATGTGTTTAGCAAATTTGGTGATCTCTGCTTATAATGCAGTTACTTTAAAGCAACAGCAGCTGTGGATTGGTGGTATTTGCTGGAAAGGAGAACACTCCTTTCCAGCTCCTTCTCCAGCAGGCATGTACTTAATTCCTTCCATTTTTTAAAGCCTGAGATAAAGCAACAGAACAACTTTTTCACTGGCCAGGAATAAAGGGGACTTTATTCCAGTAGCTTTTAAGTTCTGCCCATTTGAATGGTCCTTTATTATGACAGGGAACATGGCATGCACAGCCAGAAGGTTTTGAGAAACAGAAAGCTGGTAGCAGATAAAGGTTGCTCTGGATTTGCAGGCTGTGAGGGAATCATTGCTGAATGTAACTGATTCAGTTTCGCAAAGGAATAATTAAGGGAAGTTCAGAGGAAAGGGGAAATTTGCTTTTTGCTGTAGTCTGTCCTCTCCACCTGCCCCCATGCCAGTTGTGTCTCCCTTGCATGGAAAGCAGGTTCCCATTAAGCTGATCACACACCATCTGTAACATCTGCTGCAAAGTTACCTGAACCTGTTCTTTGAGCTTAAGGATAAATTTTCCTGCTCCCTTCCACTTGCTTTGGGCCTGAAACACACACTCCTGATCAGAGAGAATCCTCTGAGATGGTTTAGATGTTGAAGACTTTTTGTTTGCTGGTTCTTTAGTCACCTCTTCCAAGAGCACATAATCACTTGGGTTTGGATTGCTCAAAATGCTGTAGGAGTATTTGGCTTTGCAGAGAGTCTGTTTAAAAGGAGAAAAACAGAAGAAAAAACAAGGCATTCTCTCAGATTCAGGTTACTAAACCACTTCTTCAGCTAGTGCTGAGAACAAATCCCACCTTAGCTTGTTTGAAACCAACTTCCAGCCCACATGTTGAGGTGGGCACACTCCCTTACCTGCTGTATGACATCCTGAGCCGTGCTGAGGCGCGGAGCTTTGATCACGGTGCGTGGCTGCTCTGGGGACACATCATGTACCTGAACAAAGAAGCTGTCATCCTCAGAGCTGAGGGCTGCTTCTTCCTTTGCTTCTTGAAAGACATTTCTTTCATTTAAATTCTACAGAGAAAATGACAGGCAATTTTATTTACTGAAGAGAGGTAACTAATAGCTGGTGGTCACACAAGGGTTTTATTACATGGAAATTAGAGACTGCAGTTGCCTTGGCTCCATTTTGTTAAATGCATTATAAAAGAGGTTTGACAAGCCACTACTGCTAATAATAAATAATAATGCTAGTAAATACCCATGTTTTCTAAAATCAATATCTGAAATACCTTTCATAGTAGGTGAGGAATGGAGATGTTTGTATAACATCCTATTTAACAAAAATGGTCTCTTAAATCCTTCCCTTATGTATACAAAATGATGTTTTGTCATGTAACAGTGCCAGCATGATGGGAGATGGTGGAAAGGGTTCTTTTCTTTCCTGTCCCTGCGCTAAAGCCAAAAGAATTTAGAGAGCCAGAATCTGAGTGAACATTTTCCTGTGGTATGGAGCAAGAGGAAGGCTGTGTGTTTCTCTCTCCCTTTTCAATGACTACTACAGATTTTAGACAGAATTCCTTCTTGAACCTTCTCTCAGAGAATGCATTTCTGTCCAAGGCTTGGAACACTTGGAACACAGCTGGGATTCATAAGCTGTAAATATGGGCTGTGTATTGCACCCTGTCACTGGACCTGCTCCTTGTTTTTCCAGTCAGATTTGCAGCTTCATTTTTAGCCCAAGCTCTGTGGTGCTGCTGTCTGAAGAAAGGCTCAAAATTATGGGTAATGCTTTGAGGTACTCACATAACAGGACAGAACAACAGCATAATTTTCATATGAGCTAAGGCAGATTTTTACCCATTTTCTGACGGAATGGGGCTTGGCAGGACACCTGTGGCAACATACACTGACAGAGGCAGTGCTGCAGTCAGTAGAATTCAGTAGACTACTATTTCTACAAACAAATTTCTACCTTGTCATTTTTGTTCCAAAGGTTAGATATAAGGGAAACTAAAATAATAGCAATTTGTCAGATTGAAGCTTTACTAAAAGTTCTGGCAAAATAAGCAAAAATACATTTTTTCAGTTTAAAGTATACCAGAGCACCTCTGTCATAAATATATATATATATATATATATATATATATGCATGTAAAGTCTGTGCACTAAGCAAGCATTTTTATTTGCCTAACTGACCAAAGAAAGTGCCTCTGAAAATGGGATCATTAAGTGTCTTTCTCCTGCTTTTTTTGTCTCTGTCTCACAAGCCTGGGCACTAGCATATTTTAAGCTGTGGGTGCTTTGCTCATAGTGTAAACTGAAGTAATCTTCCTCCTTTAAATTAAAAGAAATCACATATTTAATTATTTTAGCCTATAAATGATAATTTAATCATCCTTTGAGGCTTTTAGACTTATTCTTTAATATTAAAATTATTTCTAATTTTTCTAGACAGATGATAAGTTGCTGCCATCTAAATTGATGGTGGTTTTCTGGAGTTCTACTATGATCCTTTGGTATTAACTATTATCTTTATATTAATTTTCTATTACGGCATAATCTAGATTTGCATTAAGTTAGAAAGATCACTCCAAACAGAGTCACTGAACTGGTGACTGAGCCATAATGAATAAACACCACACAGCTGAGCTCAGGGAAGTCCAGTTGGTGTCACACAGGTGTATAAAGTCCAGTTGTGCATCTCACTCAAGTTTGGTTTTAAATAACGCACACAGCATTGACATCACTCACCAAGTAGTGAAACAAATACTGCACCCTTTTGTTTCGTGGCCCTAAGAACTATTTTTAGCTACTTTTGTAAATAATAATTTATCCAAAACAGACTTACTTCCTCTCGAGTTTTCAAGATAATTCTTCCAACATATCCTTCTTCTGGGAACCAACTGTTTAAAAGCTGCACTAGCCCTTCTTCAGGACCAATCACTCTCTGGAATGGTGGTTTTCTGCATTCACTCTTTTCTTTTGATATAAAACTTTTCTCTTCCATCAGAAAATAGTCTGCAGCGCATGACTCGGTGCCTTTTATGGTAGCCAAGAGCTAAGACAGACAACACACAACAATTAGAATGCTAAATATAAACACTGCATAATTAGTAGTTATAAATGAGAATGAATAAGGAAGCTTTAAGAATCAGTAACTATTCTGACAGTGCAGGCAGGATTTCTGATGTGCTATTTATTATTCAGATATTTTACTCCAGGGTAATGTCCTGTTCTCTTTACCCCAGCCAAGCAGTTCAACTATTCCAGACAAGGCAGTACTATTTAAGCTTATTTTGGTCCTTTTTAGCTTGCCAGAAAATTTATTCATAATCCCAGGACAGTACAGTCTTTTCCCACTGCTAGAATAACAATCCCTGCTGAGTTATCTGGTTTTTCTACTCATGAACTTAGCCCTCTAACTTTTACTCTCTGTTCCTGTGGTGCCTCAGTTCAAAGAACTGTGCAGAAATGTTTGCCTTTGTTGTAAGGAGACCCCACTGCACCCATTGACTAGAGACACTGTTTTTCTCATCTGCATATGCCCAAATATTAAAATACTAATAAGGAATATGTCCTAAGATTATAAACCCATTCTCTGAAGCCAAGATTGGGAAAATTCCACTGCTTATATTGTGTGTTTGCTGTGTAATTAATTGCACAGCAATGCATTTCTAAGAGCACTCCTTGCTGGGGTGATGTGTGAGAAGTGCAGGGAGACAGAGGTGCAGCAGATGTTAGTGTGGATTCTGGCAACGCAGAGTCTGCAATTCAGCAGGAGCTCACCTGATGGAGCAGCTGTGCAGCCGTGGTCCCTGCACTCACACTGAACACAGTGAAAGGCTCTGGGCCTGGAATTCCATGAACTGTCACTTTGTAAGTCATGGCAGCTTTCCTTTCTCCCGGGCTAAACAACTGTTCAGACAACATTCAACAGGTTACTGGACGTTTTTACACAGGCATGTTATTTCTAGGTTGCTTAAAAGAAACTGTACACAAGTTGTGAGGGCCTTGACAAAGCAAAGCTGTTCAGTTCATACATGGCTCTTCCTTACACTACAGATGGAGGCATCTAAAAAGCCCCAACAAACCCTCCAAAAGCCTCCATCGTCTCTTGAAGCTGAAGAGAAAAAGGAAGATTTCCAGTGGGAATACATAAACTACCCCTGGACAAAGGGCCACTTCTCCATCATTCATTCCCCATTCCAGCTGAGCTCAGATATTTGGATTCAGCATGCAGACTGGATGAAAAGCAATAGCTTTGTTTCAACCTCCAAACTATTTGTTCTTCCTTTCTACCCTTGTAATTCACCAAGATAGAAATTTGGAATGCATTCACAGGAGGTAATATATGCAACATATCTGCTGCACACACAGGAGCTCAGAAGGTTTTATCTAACACTTTAGGAGTCAGCAAAATGATAAAATACATATTTAAAGTTGCCAAAACACAAGTAACCCAGGTAGCCTAACAGTAAGGGCTTTTAAACAAAAATCACATCTATGCATGCATATTTTTAGATATACAGATACCTGTACATATGTATACAAACTTGCACATATAAACATATGGCTGTGCACACATATATAAATCTGTATGTGTTTATGGAACTACAGAGTTCATCTTTTCTTGTAACAGAAATCAATTTTATTCTCATTATTTCAAAGTTGTTGGTAATTTGCATCTTCCTTTTTTTTTGGTCTCAAATGCTTTGCTTACAATTCGTGCACAAAGGAATGCATTAGGCTGCACTGAACCTGACTGCTCGTCCACACTCCTCCAGTCGAGGAGCACATTTCTTGTTCTATACCTAAATACAGCAGAGGAGCCAGACTTTGAAAAGATTTATCTTCCCACAGTTTTATCCAGGTGGGATAACCTTACTTCCACCAAAGGGAAAAAAAAAAGGCATTAAGGTATGTCTGAAGAATGTGCAGGTTTGAGGGCTAACATCTTTGAACACTCTGGCCCTATAAATCTTCACACCATAGTAGTTATTAAACCAAGAATACAGAATACAGGTAATTCATGCACACAAACAAAAAATAAATTACCATAGATGCAGGCAGAGTGTTTCCAGAGGGACTTTCTTCCATTCTCCGACTGTTTATGAACAAACTGGAAATTTCTAAAGTCTCATTGTGTAGATTATGGAGCTGGACATGTCTGTAGCCTAGAGAGGAAAAATCCTTCTGTAAATACTTTGCCATATCCTAGGACACAAGTCTCATAAATGAAAAACTCAAATTTGCTGGTTTTATAGCTACACTTCGCCACACAGGTAGGATTTGAAGCACTCTAATAGCACAGCATTAACACACTGTACAACAGGGTAACACGAATCCACTGCTGAGGGGCTCATAGAGCATCCTGCCTTTGTTTTACCATAATATTCAATAGAGTCGTACATAAAATATCTAAATATCAGAACACAAATGAAGCAAGGTCTGATTCTCATTGGAAAATGCATGTGTATGGCCAAATCTCACACACCAACCCGGACAGCTGTGTGGCATTAAAGTGGCACAAAGCAAATGTAAAAGAGCTACTGGCAAGATGGAGACTCTCTCCCCAGGTGTCACACAATTAGTGATGGGGTTTTTTTCACCCCTTCTCCGACTCCCCTCCAGCCATGTGGCTGTGAGAAGTGCAATTCCCCTCTGCCCAGTGATCAGCTGTTGCAGCAGTTTCTTGGGCAAAGGACAAGGCAGGAATGAAATCCCCCCAAGCTTCCTAAGGGAGCAGCCAGTCCCCTGGTGACACAGCCTCAGGATGGGAGCAGGTGTGTCCCACGTGGCCCTGCCTCCACAGCAGCACAGGATCAGACCTTTCACAAGCCACTGGGGGGGCTGCCAGCTCCCTGGGAGTCCCAGATGAGCACTGTAGTGCTAGGTCCTGGTGTGCTGTCTGGTATTCGCTCCCTGTCTCCTCTAGAAAAATGCAACTGATTAAAAAATTCCCTCTGGAAGGATTCAACCCAGGAATGTGCTGGGCCATTGTGGCTTAGGGTGCCAGCAGGAGCCACGCCGCACCTCTCTTCAGCGCTTTCAGGGGAATGATCCTCTGGGCTGTGACAGCCGAGCAGCTGTTTTCAACCACGGCGAAGCGCAGAAAGACCAAATCCTCGAAGTGAACGCGGAACAGGAACTGCTCGTTCCACATGGGGTTGAGGGTGTTGCGGTGGATGGGCTTGGTGCGGAAGTGGCAGCTGTCCAGGGGCATCCCCAGCACGTCGATCTCGATGCAGGGGCTGCCCGTGCTGTTGCTGGGGCAAACGTTCTGGCCAGACACGATCTGCAGCAGAGGGAGGAGCACAGAGAACTGTTAGGGGGGTAATCCCTAAGCTGCCATGATCCCGAGCCAAATACTGCTCAGCACAGCCCTAAGCACAGTTTTACAACGCTCACTTTTGTGATTGCCAGGGAAGTAAGTTCAAAAGCAGAGCTCCCTCAACCGTCCCACCCCCAACACCACTGCTACGGTATCTTTCCTCTGAAAAAATACACTATACAACTGTTCAAGGCATCTGAACATTAATCCATAATGAATGTACCAGTAACGCAGTCAAAAAGGATCACTTTCCTCTCTATTACTCTGGGCTGATGGCATTGAGCTCTGGCTTGCTTTGGCATACACAACACAAGAATTAAGTGTGCAATTACCACAGCTGGGAAAATCCTGGTTCTTATGAATTTCACTTTTCTGACACATTTCCTGGAAAGGACTAGCTTCTGAGAGTACATTTTTTTGGCCACATAATCCATGAATTATATATCTTGTTATATGACTTACAAAAATATATTTTTTCAAGATTCAGTACAGCTTTTCATAATGGCTTTTTGTGCAGCTTTTCAAGTGTTCACAAATGTGTAGAACATCAAGGCACATGTGCAATTTTACACAGTTGTGCAGTCCCAGGGAAAATGCTTTCAAGACTGAGTTTCAACAAATACTGTGAAGGAAACAGGGGAAGTAACTATGGATACAAATCAGCCAATACAATGAAATAAAGACAAATCTTTGTTCCTTTCCTCTCCAATTTCTGTTAGTTAGGCTGACCTTTGGAAGCAACATTTAAAGATTCAATCTTTTCATTTAGAAGCATAAAAAATGACTACAATACTGGTTAAAGACTGTAGTTGTATATTGTCTACTTCTATCTGTTTGCCTGTATGAAATTCCCTTTTAATGTACTTACTGTTAAAGAATATATAGCTGGCTCCTTATTATCAAGATCTCTTTCCAATGGACAAAAATGCTGGTACATTGAACAGTTTTTATCCCACAGAACTGGAGGTTTCAGAACATATCCACAGCCACCGTTAGCCTCAAACATTGCTGCGTTGAGTTGCAGAGGAAGATCTGCGAAATTAAGGCAGCCAAAACTGACAGAGAGCAATGGTACAATGGAAAAACTGCAACAGTGAAGACAAAGTCATGTTTGAAATATCTTTTTTTAAACTATTTTAGTTATGTACTATTCCTGGTTTACACAACTATGTGTGATTTATGTGTCCAATCTATCCAGTAATTATTTGTAATTACACAAAACTCTAAGAACAGTTCATTCTTTCCTTTCCATTGTCTTTATTGAGCTGTAGGGCTTGCCTACAACACTTCTCTGGGAAGTTTCTAGGAATGTGCCTTGAACTGCATAATGAATCACAGAATCACAGAATATTCTGAATTGGAAGGGACCCACAAGGATCATTGTGTCCCCAGAATGGCCCACTGGGGATCAAGCACACAGCCTTGATGCTGTTAGCACCATGCTCTAACAAACTGAGCTGATGCCAGGTTCTGTAGAGCACTGTAGATGACCTAATGGAAAATATGAAGGAACAAAGATAGGATAGCAAATATTCAAAAAATGTTTTGATCAACATTAAACCAACATCCAAGGCAGCACTTCCAAGTGAAAAGTAGTTCATACTTTTTTATGCTTGAAATTATCTGAAAGGGTAAGAGTTACTTGAACTGGGAGAAAAAAAACAACCTTCATCAATAAAATAAAAATAAAAATGGAAGTGTTGCTGTCCAGGCACTTCTGGGTTACCAGAGAACCTGGTGCACTGGCATAAAGCTCCTGGACTCTGAGGTCACTGCCCTCAAGGACCCGACTCCTGTGGTATGAACCTGCTTGTGGCTGGGGTGCAGGTACAGGAAGGTCCCCTTGGGAGAGCAGGGGAAAAGTAAATAGGGAAAATACAAATTCACCACGTAAGGCCTCCTATCACATTTCCAATGTATTAAACCCTGGGTTTGTGCAGCCTTACCATCTGTTTGGTAGTTGAGAGCCACGAGCTGCACGCCATGGAGCCAGAAGATGAGGGGGTGGGGGTTGGAGGAGTCGATGCGCGTGGCAGCGGGGTAGGTCCTCAGGAGCTGGCAGGTGGTGTGCTGGATCAGCTTCTGCGAGTAGCGCCTGCAGAGCCGCTTGGCAGCGTTCTCGTTCAGGGACGAGATGTGGTAGCACTTGGGAGTCCTTATGATGGCACTGAGGGAGGCTGGAGAGTTGTAAGGAGAGCAAGGATCTTCCCAGGTCTGCCGCATCGCGTCAAAGGGACCTGGAAAACAAACAGTGCCCTCAAGGTACAGCTGCAGGTCCAGAGGCTCCACAAATGCAATGTTTTCTAGTGGAGTAAGTGTGCGTGCTTTGCTTATGGTAGAAAAAGGTGATCCTGGAAAATGACACTACTCAGGACAAGTGTCACAGTCCTTCTGACACAGTAAGAACAATCCTTGAGAGGAAACACAATGTCCAAGTATTGAAATAATACCATGATTAGATGTGCTAACAAGCACTTTCATAAATATATACCTAAATGGCATTTGCCAGTTAGGAAAAATTTAGGAATTAAAAATTAAGGAATAAAAATATTAAATTAAGGAATAAAAAATTAAGTTAAGGAATAAAAAAATGAAATAAAGGAATAAAATTCCCTTCTTCTCATTTATACATTTTACATGAGGAAGAGAGGCAAGACTGAAAGCCATCTGCTAATTTTCCAAACAGTCTACAGAGACTGCAAAATTTGGGGGAAAAGGCAGCAAAATACTTATATGCTTTAGAATAAGGCACCACAATTCTTCATTTTTAGGACACTGGCCTCTAGAAGGAAATCTTTCCTGTCTGCTGCAGTCATGCCCTTGGGCTGCAAGAAATACAACTGTCCCTGAGCCAGAAAATGAGTTCAAAATATCTGTTTATGGCACTCACTTGAAAGGCAGGGGATCTGGGTCTTACTCCTGCTCCAGAGCCTTTCCTGTACTTTCTCTGTATTTCTTTACATCTGTTCCTAGGCAGAGGCACAATTTCCAGGTTCACAGACTGAATCACCTACAGAGTCTAATTTGCACAATTACGCATTTGGGCTTGGCCAAATTTCAGGCCTCTAAATTCTACTTCAGACAATAAAAATTCTTTTCTGGACCAGCCCAACAGTCCTGGCTTTCATTTGTACTTTGAAAATATTCACTTATATCTTTAAAAATATAAATTTCAAGATACTTAAAATGCACATTAGTTTCAAATTGCTTATGAATTAGGGTCATCACATTTCTGATCAAGTAATCCTAATATTCCACACTCACCACTTCAGTTGTAATAGTGGTACTGTAATAGCTGCTGTGTTAATGAAAAACCATTCCAAAGTTTAACGTTTTACACATTGCAAAGTATTTGATCTTTAACAGCTTGGTCTGCTACATGTGCTGGATTACAGTGTCATTCCACGTGACTGGTGAAAGAAGATGCTAACTTTACCTTTTCCAGATGCTTTGGCAAGAGCAGCTGACTCCCCAGGGCTCAGCCTGCCAGGATTGTTGCCAAAAATGGACTTCCTGCTTTTTCTTTCTTTTCCTCTGCTAGAGCCAGATGGGTTTAGAGTTGACAAGCCTATTCCCATAAATGTAAAATAAATGAGCCAAAAAACATGACCAAGAGGGCATGACATTTTCCACCATATTTTACATTATTTTTGAAGGCATGAATACTCTTGTTATATAGCTCACAGGACAAACAATATATTTTCTCCACAATTTAATTTTAAAATCTTTAAATATATACACACTTTTATATTATATATATACATATATATAATATATGTATATATTACGCATGGTTTTATATATAATGCATATATGTATATACATTTATATAATGTATATAGAAGCCCATATGAAACAATACAATATACAATTCTCTCAGTGTGATATAACTTTTCTCCATTTTAGTTTTTGGCTTGAAGAAGGTAAAGACTTCCTCTCAAATTACCAAATGGTCCAAACTGATACTAAAAAAATCAGCAGTAACAGTCCCAATGTATTCATCCTAGGAATAATTTTAAAAATAAAAATCTTTTCTACAGAAGCAATAAATCAGTAGTGAATATAATGAAATTCATCTAGGTGACAATACCTACATAATTAAATAAATGCAAGATCATGATTGAAAGATATAATATTCTAAATATTATATGTCCAAATGCTGTTGGTTAAACAGTTTAACTTTAAAAAATGTTTTCAGAGTCCTCTTCTTCTGTTTATTTGTACTTCAGTGTTGGTAAATACAGTTAGGTGTGCAAAATCCATTACATATTTAATAGCCAAGACATACTAGGAGTGGAGCTGGAAAGCTCTAGTATAGCTATTATTCAAACTTGTGCATTCTAGAAACATAATCATTAAAAGTCATGACCTGAATCCTGGTGAAGTAAACAGACTTAATCCCACTTAAGGTCAATTTTTTTCTGTTGGCTTGGAGAGAGCACAAAGCAGATCAAAATTAAAGTGCACAATGATTATTCTGACACCCACAGCAGTGAGATGTGGGATGCTCTCAGAAACCCAAGATGTATTTCTGATATGGAATGTAACAAAGCAAATACACTGTTACATGCCTAACTGTGACTCCTAAAACTTTCCACATTAAGTCACATCAATTCACACCTGCCTAAAGACAGTTCTGGATTTAATACTAATATTTCAAACACAAATGTAAATCACAAAGAGGATACATTGGCCTCTTCTGATTGAAGTCTGCCCACAGCTGCAAATTTTCAGCTCTCAATCTCTATGGCATGTGTACATGTACTTACTAAAATTATGCACACAGTTTCAATGGAACTGCTTGGGTTAGTAAAATTCAGAACATACATAAATGTTTTCCACGTTGGAGATGTATTGTCTCTTTGGGCCAAAGCATACACATAAACCACAGAAGATGGTAGAAACTGGGATCAAGGAATATGAATTTAATTGAAGAATGAGGAGTTATGCGCTGTGTGCTTCCAGCACTATTTAAATCCAGTTTTGAACGGATCAAATGGATTTGGCAAGTAAGATCCAGTTTCAAAGTCCTGTTGTGGAGACAGTCACTGAGGAAACAAACTGACCTCACAAATCACCAGAGTGCAGTGCAGAGCCCCAGGGCTGACAGCCCAGTGTGATGGCCACAGGGCACACTGCAGCTGGCAGCTTCCTTTCAGTCTGTCCCGTGCTCTGCATGTTACACATCTCTTCCCACACACAAGCTCCATTTTTCACTCCAATTTAAATCTGACTTCAAAATAAAGCTTTACCAAGTCACAGAATCATCAAATCACAAAATAATAGAGGTTGACAAGGATATGGAAGTCATCTGGTCCAACTGTCTGGTCAAAGTAGGATCAGCTCAGATTCCACCATACTGTACATAAATCGTATTGTACTCCCACAGTGTCAGAGTAAATGTTTTGTGTTTCCCTGCAACCCCTGTGCCATGTTTTTCAAGTACAGAATTCAGTGCCCATCTCATGTGTAAGATATAAGCACAGTGCTTTATTGCTTCTGGACTCAATCCAGAGGATTGCAAGCTTCCCTGCCCTTCTCCCTCTCACCACACTAACATAACGGGTTAAGCTGTAATTGCCACCTTCTCACCGTGTGTTTCCAACCAACAGGAAGTCTGCAGGTTTGCAGACCTTAAAAGGGAATTTACAGCATTTTTATATGCAGGGTGCCCTTTTTTATGTTCACTTTAATTTCTTGAGAAGTGATATTATAGGGGCAGGTAATCTGATATGATGGAGATGATGGTGACGAATTTCATGCTGGTGAGTGCAGGTGGCTCCCTGCCCCCTCCACTTGATTGTGCACATCCTGCTCTTATGTACTGAGTTTCTCATTGTGTGAGGATCTCAGCACCAAGGGGATGAGCCATGTGCCAGTAGCAGTGCTCAGGGGTGCTCCACTGCCCTCAGCTTGGGTGACACAAGAGAACAGACCTCCAGCCTCTCAGATAATGGTGCAATGATATCCAACACACTGGAATTCAAATTAAGCAAGGACTGTAAGGCCAAGGAGCACAGAAACAACAAGAGCCATGGTAGGTTCCTTGTTACCAGAGGTTTTATAAACAAGAAATGTTATTTTCTCCACATGATAAATTCTGTTTTGACCAGGGAACACTTAGGGAAGTCTGTGTTACCCAGTAGGTTAGGGTAAGTGAACATTACGGTCCTTGTCCTTTTTTATAGTCACAAATCAGTGATTAACATTCAGGGATGTAGGCAAGTGTAAACACAGAACAAAATTATATGAAGACAGAAGAAATAAAGTATTTACACCATTGATCAGACACTGACATGAATTCTACCCTCCCTGTTTCCAAAACTCCTGCATTTTCTGAGCTGGTTAGGAACACAGGCACTAGAGCTACATAGTCATGGATCTAGCAGCCTTGCTCCCATCATTCATGGGCAATACTGGGCAGGGCACTGCACCACATCTGTGCCCTCCAGCTGAGCAGAGCAATCAGTGGCATGGTGGCCATGGGAGCCTACAGAGGAGGTAGTATTTGTCTCAAAGGAGACAAAGTTTGCTGGAAAAGTAATTTCTACAGCTTTATGTGTTCATCTGTGAAAGGAGATAATCTTCTTAATTGTTCTATTCATGATCCCTTTAAATCAAGAGGAAGAAATCTGAGAAGGAAAGCAGGTATTTCTTTAATAACCAGTATTACATTAAAAATTAAATACTTCAAAGTTTTCTTAGAACATCAGAATTTTTTATGTGTCAAAATGCTTGGAACAACCCAAACTATCCTCATTTAATCTTGAATATCTTTCTTTAAAAGAAAATATTTTACTTGAAATATATCTCATTGCAGATTTCATTAAAAAGAGTATCAGATCTGGATATTTGGAAGGCATTATTTTTACAAGTGACACTTACAATTTTTAAAGTTATGAAAGAATGTCCGTCCATTTTTCAGCATGTTTATCTTGCCTATTTGACACTATTTTATGTTTGGTTAGCTTCTCTAATCTGATTAAAGTTCTGTTTGTGTAAGATCATGATCTGGCAGAATTGCTAATTTTTCCACAGAGAACCATTCCACTAAAGAGCAGATTTTTAATTCAAAACATTAAACATATCAATAAACAATAAATTCTCAATTTAAAAGTATTTATGTACATAGTGTGAGCCAAAATATACCCAACCTCATATTTCAGTACTGAACAAGTGCCTATCAGTGATCTCTTCAGTTACTCCCTCTCCTTTTCTCTGCAAAAGTTATTCTTCCTACTGTACAGAAGAAGATTTTCTGATTTCCATAACTGCTTCCATGAAGACTGAGTGAGAGTCTGCAAGCAGCTGCCCTCACTCACCCTATGAAAAGGTGCTTTACTCCTGCAAATGGCTCCTCTCCTGTCCACTTGGGAAAGAACAGAAAATACAGCTGGAGCAAAGGTGAAACACACTAAACAGAGGTCACTTAAAGAAATGTGACACACTCTACCTTCAAGGCCTTAAGAATATTCTCCTTCTTAATTCAGTAGGTCCTTACATGGAAACTCAGAGCTCTCAAGATAAAGCTTTCTGTCATCTGGCATTTGGCAGTGAAGCAGTTGTCTAAGTTGTGAAGACTGGCAAATTTCACTTTTGTAAACATTTTATTATGACAAACAGTATGTATTCACCTAAATTATGAACACTGCTTCTCAGCCAGGAGCTGCTATTATGAAGACAACCAAATCATGAAGAAAGAACCTCCTCGACTACTTCAAACTAATCCAAAACATAAACATAAAGTCTCCAGGAGTTAGAAAGCTTAAAGCAATAAAACAGGGCAGTGTACTCACCAGGGAACTTCACTGCTTGACAGTAAATGACAAGATCTGATAGCTCTGGGGCTATCTGTCTGCTTTCCTTCTTGTTCTGTGGAAGATAGAATTCTTCACCCAGCTCCATGTCGTAAACCTGAGTGACAATACCAAGAACATTTAATAATAATATTACTGAATGCAGAAGGACTGTTGCATATCTTACTTAGGTCTTTGAAATATTTTATCACTTTCTTCCTATATGTTTCTGTTCTCACCCAACGAATCTCCCTCCCATGTGCACATATCTGAATCAACACCTGTTACTGATTCTGCAGTAGTGTGTAAAGGCCTTAATCAGTCAGTTCTACAAGCATTTAGACAAAACAAACACATCCATATTGAGAAGAATCTGCAATACACTAAACAGCAGTACACTGGTTCTTTTTCCAGAGGATTTAATAAGAGGTACTGTGATTACCTGATATCATAGTGCAGTATTTTAAACTTATTTTGAAGCATAAAGATGCTGAAGATTCAGATGAAATCTTCAGTTCCATCAATATTAATTTTCAGCCAAGCAGCCTATACATACTATAACCTCTGAGGACTTTTCTTGAACAGTATGTTGAGCGTTTGTTCTATTTAGGCAATTTTCTCTGGTGTCTTTCCATGCTTTCTACTGTTTCTCTTCATAAAGTCCATTTACTATCTGATGTCTCAGCTACCTAAACTGTCCAAATCCTTTTGAACCTGGTTATATATAAAAGTGCAGCTGAGAAGAAAGAGGGAAAAAGCAGAACTACCTTTCCTTTATTATTGTAAGTAGCACCATCAGCCTTCTTTAGTCGTTTGGCAGTCTCTTCATTATATTCAAACTGCAGTTTATCACTTGATAATTTATTCTCAGGTCGATCTTCAAGAATATTATCTAAAAATTAATGGGATTTTAATAAACATAAAGCCAAACAATTTCAACTGGAAATTTAATTTGAACTAACAATATCTGTGGACAGTGTTGTGAATCTTATATGAATAATCAGATGCTAAAACAATGCATTTACTGGTCAGAGCATCATCCTCTAGTAGTAACCTTCTATTTAAAAATCTAATGCTTGGGTTTGGTTAAGACACTGCCTTTCCTTTAAAGCCCATCCTTTTGTGCTCAGAAGATCTTTAAAACCAAACCATCTAATGAATTAATTTTGTCATCTGAAAACAACTGATATTCCTGAATGACAAAAAAATGCCAAAGACCAAGCACAATTAACCCCATCAAATACGTAAACATTTTGTACAGCAATTTTTTGCTTTCCTCTCCTTACTTTCACCATGCACAAGTATTTTTTATATCTATAGAAATACCTCTTCAAAGCTACATATTTTTCAGAGAACAGTATGCCTAATAATGATGTGGTCCTTCTGGACCAAAATGCTACAGTTTTCACAAAAGGAATGGTTTCAATTTATTCCTGATAATCCTGATGCTTTGACCTGATGCATATTATTTTATGCATAATAAGTGTCACACATGCAGGCTTCTAACAGTTCCTGACCAGTTAACAATGCCATGTAAGAATATCTGCTTGCATTTATAATATGAAGTAGAAGCTATATATTCACATTGTCACATTGAACAGGCTGAAGATGCAGTGCTGATGATTTCATGCAGTTAAAATGCTCAACCAAGTGGCTTTTACCTTCCTGGCTGTTAGGAGCAGGAGAAGCATTAAGGACATCAGCTACAGGGAAACGAGTCAGAGAGGGAATAAGAGTAAAGGGAATTAAGATTTAGAGCCAGAGAAATGAAAAATAAGTGTCAGTTGTAAAACTATTAGCCTTACACAAAAAAAAAAAAGTATTGGTAAGAAAAATAAAACTGAATCTCTTTTAGAAAGTTTACAGACTATTATTTAGATTAGTTTTAACAAAAAATTAAGAAAATTAAAGACTTCAAAGAGTAATCATTGTAATAAAGTAGTAAACCATGCTGCAGATTCCTTCACATACTGGAAGGTGTAAATGTTTCTTGCTAGCTTCAGATTTTTCAAACCTTCTCTTAACTAGAACAGTGCTAAAAAGTCACTTACTGCAATCAGTTTGCAAAATTTTCTTGCAAATATGTTAGCAAAGATTTGAGTTTTCACTGCAATTTACATCTACAGCATCTCCACCCTGCTGCTCACAAAGAGTATGCTCAAGTAGTCAGCTAGGCCAACTTTCAGGCAAAATGCAACTGAAGGCAGCATTGACATCAAACTCATAAACAACACTGCTATTCCACAAGCAGTGTCAAGTCTTGAACTGCATTTGTTAATTTTGTGACTATTTTTAAAATCACTAAACACAGGAGCAAGTAATGTAAACAAGAGACCACCTGAAAAGAAGCCCTGTGCTGCAGGACATGCTTGAGCCTTACACCTTCTCTGAACATGGCACCTAGAACTTAAATGGGCCCCCAGCAGAATGAAAAGTGCAGTGAGTGAAGCCCTTCACTGTTCACTCGGGAGGACACCCCCAGCTCTGTCAGACCAGTTGTCCATCTAACCCAGTATTCTTTCTGATAGTGGCAACAGAGCAACCAGCCACTAATCACCACCCCAACAACCACAATCACTGAATAATAGGGATATTGGACCAAATACTGCTACCAATAACAATTGCTTATACATCTCTTCATGAATTTGTCCAATCCTTTTTTTTTAATATGCCGATGCCATTTGGCTCTGCAATTTCCCAAGGCAGCACATTCCAGAAGTTTACTACCAGCTGCACAAACAAATATTTTACCTATTTTAGACTGATCTTCCACTTGCTTTACTGAGCACCTGCTAGATCTAACGAGTAACATTCTGTGCTTCCCTTAATCCACCACTTCATGACTTAGTAAACCGGCTTCCAATTTACCCCTCTTCTCCACCAGCTGAAGATTTTCAGCCTTTTCAGACTTGTGCAAGGACACTGCTTACCCAGCTCATGCCTGAACTAGAATATTCACATCTTGTTACTACAGTTCTAACAAAAGCACTGTAGCAAACAAACAAAGAAATAAATATAATTACCATCAGAGAGAGATTCATAGTCATAGTCATATTCATCTTCCTCATCTTCTTCCTCTTCATTGGTAGGTGTGGGGTTGCTCGCACCATTGCTAGCCTGTGCTTGCAAATGTGCCAGCTGATGAGCCTACAACAACAGAAACACTTACTACATCATTGCTAAGTACTTTTGAAGAGAAAAAGAGTTTTCATGCTTGTATCTTGTTTTATTTCTATGAAAGCACTAAATATATATTAAGTGAGAAATAAGTAAGATTGTTAACATCACGCTAAAATACCACTTTGGGGGTTTGAGCATAAAGAGAACTTGTATTGCAAGAAAAACACTTAATAAGATATGAAACCTAATTAATTATGGAAAAATGTCAAAGTTGCACATCATTCAAGACTGCCTTTTTCCAGTCTGAGATATGCTGTTTCAGAAACAGTTAAATACTTTTTCAAAAGACGGAGAATATCTATATACTGGTATGATCAGTGTGATTTACTCATCTGATAACAAGAATTTAAGTCTAATGCAATTGTGTTTACATTTTGAGTAATGGCAATTATTCTTCAAGGATTCAATTGAACTGCTGACTAACCATAGACATTATTAGATTGAGGCTACTTGAGATGCAGGCCTAAATTCTAAAAATCAAAAAAATTCTCAAATGGGAATAAACACCATTTGAGTAGCAGAGTATCCCACAGAAAGTCAATTAAAAAATCAAGTATTTGACTGGCTTGAGTTTGAAAAAAGAAACAAAGCAGAACTCTACCAAAAATGACTACATACTGTAAATACACACACGTACTCAATGCATATGACTACTTTTCAGTAAACATGAATAGTAAATGTTAAAACCTCAGAGAAAAAGATTTATTTATGTTTGTCACACAGGGCATATGGTGTTAATCATAATATTATGAAGTTTTATAAAATTAATAGACACTAAAATTTAGTTAAGCTGTAGCTATAATTTACTATATGTGCCGTCTGCTTTTGAAAGCACTGCAATCCACTGTGAACTATCCAAGCATGAATGTGCATTAGATTATTCTGCTGTACATTGGGGTTAGCAAAAACTTCAAACACAAATGAACTATTTCTAACAAGAGCTGGGTCTCACTGCTTGCTCTTAAGGAAGGACTGTACCTTTTGTTTCAATATATCCACTGGTGTTTGATGGGCTTTCAGCTTCTTGTTTTTAAGCAGGATTTTTCTTCTCAGTTGGCCAGGGGAAGGCAGCATGGGATCATCAGAAAAGTCACTCTCAAATAAAAACTTTGTCACCAACTTATCTCCAAATACATTCTGAAACATCAAGAACAGGTGATGTGTTATGGAAAGCCCCAGGACTTGTGCTGGGAATACCTGACCACAGTGGAGGGCCCACCTTGAAGATCTCGGCCATCTTGCGCTGCTGGGGCAGCGAGCAGTGGTTCTCTATGGAGATGATGACCGGCATGTCGGAGGTGATGAACGCGTTGCGATCGATGGCTTCCACCACCTCCTGCCAGAGACAGACACAGAGAGAGGCACTGAAAGAACACAGCAGCATTCTGCAGCTCTCAGTCAACCTACTGCTAGCTGAGAGTGGAGACGTCTGCTTTCCTCTGCAAGAAGGAAGAGGCCACCCTGTGCTTTCAAAGCAAGCTGGCATCTTGTTACAACACAAGTGGTAACACCTATTTTTGTTACTTAGGTACCAACAAAAAGACAGAAAATTACATTACATATGCTACAAAAACTAACTTGAAAGCATATTTACCGCTGAGAATTTCATGTCTGACATAATCTATAGTTTATATTCTATTAAAATTTTTAGCACATAAGAATTTGTATTTTTCTAGTAGGCAATTTTTCCCCCCTTCATTACAGAAAAAATAACTTCCCTTTTTTTTGTTTCTACATGCATTACCAGCATACCTTAAAAGAGATCTTTGTAGTAAGGGTGTGCCCATGATAAATGATAGGCATCCCATCATCACCATCCCAGCAGTCCAATTCTACGCTTCTGCAGCCTTGTAGAAGAACCTATAATGCAATTGAAGAGTGTAAGCACATCTAAACTACAGTGTCATGCCATCAAAGCAGAAGACAGACATTGCAGAGCTGAATGAAAGCCCAGTGATTCAGCAAAATTGCTGCAAAGAGCAATCTCTGTGAAGTGAACAGCCCATGGAATGTACAGTCCCCAGCTAACTGCATTCCCTAACTGAATTCCTTATTTCCCATTGAAAAAGACTGGGAAAATTAAGCAAAGCATGTATATTCTTAGGAGAATTACCAAAAAGCTTTGAAATTCATGGTATCATACAGGACACATGGAATCTGTTTGCAGAAGGTGGTTCTTATTGTATAGATTAATTTTCTGAGAGAGAGAAACACTCCCATACTTCTACCTGCAAAAACAGCTATAAAGCAACATGGCAATTTATTTCAGGTTGCTCTCATGATCATTTATGGGGAAAGCACCTGCAGTTTGTTTGCTGTTTTTTTGGTTATTATTAGTTTTATAAATAAAAGATAGTCTGAAAATGAAGTATTAAGAAACTTCTATGAGTATAGTTACAATGGAAATGTGCCAGGCCATGTTAATCAATTACATCAACCTATTTACAGCCATCAATTCATTCATCAATTTTTAAATTATTCATTTATTTATTTTAGAAAGCCATTGCTAGAAAACCAAGGAAGCAAAGAGGAAGGATGAAGGAAGAGATGAGCTAATCCATCTTTTGCCAGCCCAGCTTATTATTGTGATCAGTATTTAGCATGCCTGTCATCTGTACTACAAGTTAATATTTTACTGAACAGAAAGAACCCAAAAATTAAAACAATTTCCAGCAAAACCATTCATGAACAAAGAAAAAATTACTCAAAACATGAATAATTTTATTTCAGACAGTTGTGTCCATAGCTGGCACTCCACCACTTCTGTGAGAGCCAGACACACTGAGCCAGAACAAAGTGCCCCTTCAGCTGGCAACACGTACTTGAGGGACAGGAAGAAGCTTTTCTTAATCATGCAAACTTTGAAGGCAGTTGATCTCTATCTCACTTCCCATCTATTACCAACACAATACTAAGATCACTGTGCAGTGCCACTACAGGAACCTCTGCAATTGCATTACTCAGTGCATTTGTGTTATTCAGGATTTCCTAACACAGCCTCACCTCTCTGCCTACAACCCCAGGTGAAGGAGCACAGGGGACACCAGATGAGTCCATTCTCAGTGGTGAGTCATTAACTCTCAGCATAATGAAAACACTGCTGCCAGGAAGTTTGATGCTTTCTCCAGCATTTTGTAAACACACAAATATATATATATATATGCATACACATACACAAACAAGTACAGAACTGAAAGCCCAAGGGAGAAATTGTTCCTTCCCTCATCAGCACCAATCAGACATAAAGTCTAAAAACTGTAGAATATTCCTAGAAGTAACATTTTTAGAAGTTATAGTTCTATTTGAAATTAGTCTTTGCAGTGCAATGTACAGTATCTCAGTAGTGTTTCTGACATCTGAATGAACTAAAATATTAGATCAGTCTTTCCTGTGGGAAAGTCTAATTTTAGTAGGTTGGGTCAGACCGACTGGTGTCTAAATGCTATGAATCTCAAACTAAACCCATTTTTTTGCTTTAGAAAAGGCATTTGAGCACAACTGTGCTTACAGGCAGCTTTCCCACACATCATGTTTTCCAACGTTTTGCAAGCAGGGGTTTAGGACATTTAGATTTTCAAAGCAAAAAGGTCATGTTCCTGAAACTTGCCAGTAAAACAAACAAGTTCATGTTGAAAGCTACACAACAATCCAATCCTGCATACCTGGCTGTAGAGCTCCACTGAGGACTCCCCTTTAAGCTGATGGCCAGTAAGGTAAGTATTGTGTGAGGATTCTATGTAGTAATATGAGAGAGGAAAGTGCAAGTCCTCAGAATTCTCCTGTGACTCATCATTTTTGGAGGCAAAGTTGTCTTTATCCATCAAAAATCTAGAAGTGAGAAGATGCGAGGAAATTTTATGCTGTGATGAGCACTTTGTGACTCTCTGAGAAACATCAATACACTGGTATCATCTTTTTACATATACATACAAATATATATATATATATAAAAGCACAAAAGTAATTACCTTGCAAATCCTTCAAAAGATAGCAGCCCCTGTTGGCACATGTTCACACTAGGTTCAAATTTCTATGAGGAGGAAGAAATCAAACAGACAAATAATAAAATTCTTAGAAACATGTCTTGTCCTGTTTTTATATGTAGTCTGCTCATAGCACTAAACAGTTAGTATTTAAACACAGTCTTTTTGTGAATAATGAATCAGGTGCCTGCAAAGTGTGTTTTACAAATGACTACACAAACATACTAAAATCATAATCATAAATCAAAGAGCCATTCAGGTTGAAAGGGATGTTGCCTAATCCAACCTCCTGTTCAAAGGAGCGACAGCCATTAAATTGCAATTAAGAAAGATTTATGATCAGGTGTCCTGCTCCTATCTAATATGCTTAAATACAACATACCACCATGTCAACAAGAGTTGTGGTATTCCAACTTGAAGCTTCTTTAGAATTTCTGTCTTTTAAACTCTGCAATTCTATCTTACATGTTGATAGTTATATATAGCTTTTAGCCTTTGTTAACTGTTAAAAAGGGACTTAGTTTTGGAGTATATTAATTACACATGAAGGAATTTGAAAGAATAAAAAGTTTTCTACACAGTTTCTAAAATCTTCAGCCATGGTACATAAGGGAATAAAGTGGCCATGTTTGCTCTGGAAGATTTTTTTACAGTAAAACATTAATATGTGGAAATGGTGCTTCTTAAAGTTCCAATGTAAGATTATGCTCAATCAAATACGGGGCCAGACAAAGAAAAAATAAAAAAATTGTCATGAACACTTTTTGTAGGTGGTGACATCCCTTCTCTACTAAAGTACACATTGCTAATAAAACTATTTATTTGCATTTTTAATGGATATATTTATGGACATCCATACAATTTTCTAGTCCAAAATAAAGACAGTATTAAATTTTAAATTCAAGTAAACTGTAGAGGCAATATCAGTGTGAAAGGAGATACCCACACAGATGCTATTCTGAACAACACACAATGTTAATGGGGAAAACAGAAGTAACTGGAGTTCTAGGAAAAAGGAAATGCAAGATATTTGTATTACAGACCTGGATAATACTGAGGATTTCATCATAGGTGCAGTGTTCTCCTTGGCAGTTCACTAGGAAGTCGTTCAGCTGCTGGATTCCTACTCCAAACACTCCCAGTGAGGTGCTTTCAACTCCAGTACCATTGGTTACGATGCTGGCAGCAGCAATAGCATCAGATATTTGCCTCTGGTTGTCTGATAGCTGCTGCCTGCTCTTAATGAACAAACCAAGGTCTGAAACATTTCTAGTCAACAAATCTTAAAAGAAAAATGAGGAAATAAAAGTATAAGCTAAACAATTATGTGTATTACATATCCTGTACAGAATATAACCTAGTATACAATACACACAAGTATCTCACTGGGTGTTTTAGCAGTAAATTAGAACAAAATCATCTTGTTTCTGCCCACTAATAAAAGAGAGAGAATTAAGCATGCATGTGAGGAGATTACAAGTATCCAATTACTCTGAACAAAATCCTGGAACCTTTAACATGGATCCATGGCCTCTTACACACCCAGGACTCTCCTGCTCCATCTCACCATCACAAACAGCCTCAAAGCCTTTCCTTCACTCTGTGCAACCCCACACCTTCCTGTTCAATTTCCCTTTATCTTCTTCCAGTTTCATATGCCAATTGTTCTGCACCCTCTCCACAAGCTGCTTGGCAGAAAGACTGTTTTCTTTACATGTGGCCAAAGTCCCAGACTTAGATTATGGTAACTGAGGAATGTAAAGAGGGACAGAGGCTTCCTTCCCCTTTATCCCAAATAAAGCAGATCCACTAGGGAAGTAGATAAGAAAAAAACAGCCAAATGGGACACAGGGCACAGCCTCTTTATTTCTCCTCACTATATTTGCTCAGTGTTTTAGCCCTTCCAGGACTCCTGCAACCTGTACAGATCCCTGGGCTCAGCCATTCAGCAACAAGTTTTATCCCTCTGCTATTACCAGTGACAAATATATCTGGCTAATGGAAAGCTGGAATATTTTTCCTTCCCTTCATTTTTGTCTTATAGTCCACTAACTAGTATTAGTGGAGGCATGGCAGCAGTCCTCTACTTACACTTGTAACTGATAAGGAGACACATTTTATTAAGGGAAATAACTGAAACTGCTCAGCAGTCTAACAATTGCATTTTTCTCTTTAACAAACCTAAATCAGGCTGGAATCCACTGCTATTTTCATCAATCTTCAAATTAGTATAAAGTGGAGCAGGCTCTAAGCCAGATCGATTGCAAGGCACAGCGTAAACATCAAAAAGATCTTTCAGATCCTTGCGGCTACGAACACTGCAAAAAGAACAGAAAAATTCAATTTTTGCTCTTTTATAAACTTGGATGAATGAAATTAGTACAGAAAAAAAAAATCTTTTACCTGAAAGATTTGAAGAGCTCTACAAATTCCACAAAAGTCATGTTACTATCAGACACCATGAAGTTCTGAAATCCTTTCATTCCTCCTTTGACACGGCCATGCCAGCTACTGCTGCTCCATGTGCTAAATCAAAAAAAGACTGCTGTAGTTTGGTTACATTAAACTTCTACTTAACTGAAATATTATGCATTAGTGTATTAACAGTTTATTTGTGCTCTCCTTAATGCATTTATTACCAGTATCTGGAAGAAGCAAATAAAGCACCATCTTCTAAGATGCATAATGATGTTTTCTACCTTCTTGGTTTATAGCAGCTATTTTTTTTTTCCTTGAAGACAACTGTAAACTTTATCAGAATGAGTAATGTATATTATGCAATTTAAAACTTTCATGTGAAAAAAGGCTTCATGCACATGGCACAAATGAAAGCACTTATTTTCCCTTTAAAGAAAACAATGCCAATATTCTTGTAATGCAGGCTGTGTATAAGGTCCATTGAAGACAAAATAATAAAATAGATTGTTCTGTAACTGCAATCATTAATCTAAGTTGTGCAGCTGAACTGCATTTTTGAAGTAGAACCAGCACATTTCCAAAAGTCACGTCCCAAAATCTTTAGGCTTCTAGAGGATTTGCACTAGTAATTACAGTTAGGCCTTACTTGAGCAGTATGAACAAGTCCTTAGTGAACTACATGGAGTAACTTGCAATGAGGGGCTGAGATGTTGAGCCCCTTTCTGGGCCTAAACACCAATGAACACACATTACAGGAATGGGATCTGCCAGCAACAGCATCCTGAAAAGGGCAGGATCTAAGCAACAACACAAATATCAAGAACTATCTGGTTTGAACCATAATTAACTGCACAAGTTACAGTATTTCCTTCAAAATATCAGATCACATGTCAGATTTAATGCTCTGTAATGTTCAAATATACTGACTGATCCATTCTTCTACGAATTTTGCCATCAGGATAAGTACAAATAGTTCAGACAGCTGTGATGGAAAAACAGGACCAGCTTGTTGTCCAGTATTCCTAAGGACATGCCTGCAAGCAGGTGACTTTCTACACAAATAGGCTGGACCAGATTCCTGAGTTTACTCCTGGCATGGGATGGATGCATGCAATTGAAAACAAAATGTGATTTAAAAGTATTAAAAAATACCATCTACTTTAGTTGATAATATTGGATTTGTTTGACATCACTATGGAAAGTACTGACATACTGCATAAAACTTTTTTAGCTAAAATAATTCCCAGCATTTTTATAAGACAGGAAAAATAAACCATGATGAGGAAAGCCTCTAGATTCCAGAAAACAGATTGGAACTGCAGGGTACCAAATGGGAGACCAAGAGCAGAAAAAAATGCTCACCATTTCACCCAATCTGATCACTAAAGATTATCTTCCAGAGTAATGGGAAAACAATACAAACAAAAGGTTTAAATAAAAAAGCCAAAATCCCCAAGGAAACTCCATCATCACCAACCACCAAAATTGCCATTAGTAGCAGTCTGGATTGACTGCTGAGTGAGGAGGTTTACTCTCTCTTCCCAAAAAGGCCACCAACTCTAGTTTTCTGTCCTCTATGTCCATATCTCGTCCTCTGTGTCCCAGGATCTTATCAACCATCCTGCTGTTCCTCCACTCTACAAACAGCACTAGATTTCCAAGGAACTTGGAAATTCATCAGATGCCCATCTGCTTTGAAGGAATGACAAAAGCAGCTGCAAGCTACTTCGGAATAAAACTCTCTCCAGTGCTCCAAATTTCTTAATGGCTCATTAAAACAGGGTCAAGATAATGGGTCAAATATGTAAATCTGTTTTTAGGAAGACTCCTTCAGGACAGATGAAACAGCCATAAGGTACATCCCAAGCAAGTTCTGTCAGGAAGGGTCATAGCAAACTTGGGACTGCTCTGCAAAGTGATGCTGTGGAAGTGCCAGGCAATGTTGCCAGGGAAAACCTATGGTAACTGGGGGAGGTCCACAGTGCTTAGCTACACACAGATCCATGCAGAAACCCAGGCCTGAGAGGATTTAAAAGAACATTAGCTGTCCTTTTCCAGGGAATGTGAGCTCTCCATTGAACCTTTTAATCTAATTTAGAGACAACTACAATTTTGGCATAAAAGCAAAAAGTAGTTTTGCAAAACACAAAATAATTTTCTAGAGATTGTAAAGCAGTTATTTCTTCAGTTCAGTGTAAAATAAAGCTGTTCTCACCATTACAAAAAAAAAATTGCTTGCCAAGACAAATCCAAGTTTGTGAATGACAGTGAAAAACAAAAGGAACACAAGAGGCTCACAAAGCAGCATTAACCCAACCACACATGTTCACAGGTGACTCTACTAATCACACCTGTTGCCAAATCCAACTATTTTAAGTATAAATACAATCCCCAAGAAATACACAACTGAAACCACTGTACAAGACGTGTTTCTACAAATAAAATGTTCTATCAGCAGCAGTAATCCCTTCTGTTGTTTACTGTTCTCTCCTGGAACCCCCAAGATTCATATTCATAATGATATTTCAGCAATCCTTCTCCAGAAAGGCACTGGAAAGCCTCTGTAGAGACTGTCTTCTTGTATGTTATAAAGTACTGTCCACATCTCTGAGCTATTATTAATACTGTAATTATGACTACCATCACCATTAGTATCTATAGCATTAACATAATAGTGCACTATGATACTGCACATATTGCAACAGCAAAACCTTTTACACTGCCTAAGTGGCACAAAAAGGATGAATGTTCAAGAAAAAGACACCTGTAAGAGATTCCAAATTGGTTCCTCCATTTCCCAAGATAGTACTTCAGCCATCACCAGGAATGTCAGCACAGGTTATTACTCCCTCAGGTAGAAATTATTTATGCTGAGAAACCTCACAACTTCAGCTCACACATCTATAACATTTCTGTTCATTTTCACTGTACAGAAAATGCCTATAACTATATTTTGGAGAAGATTTGGAAAAAGAGTTAAACTCTGTATTTGTGCAGTTTTGGGAACAGCATTCCAATCTGCTTCTGTAACAGATATAAACTGAAACATGCTGCTCAGGGACTTGCTACAAAGCCATCCTCAGATTCATGGCATTTCAGCTTAAATGTCTTGTGTTCTGCTACAATGTGTTTTAGATGTCTACAAAAAGGCTAATGACATTTCTGGCGCTGTTTTTGTCAGATTTTGCCAGTTAGGCACAAACCCCACATTAGATAATAAGTAAGTAACAGTAGCTTCTTTTCTTTTTTCAATCAAATGGATTTTGCCCTTACCTAGACTGACTTTTGCTTGATGATATTACAGGAGAGGAGACTGGTCTTGCTGGTGAAGATGATGTGGCTCCTAAGTTGGGAGATCCAGATGCTGTCAGAGAGTGAGCTCTTCTTGATGGAAGGTTGTTAGATGGAGAAGCATTAATAATAATATTTTGATCTAAGGAGAAAACAAAGTTTTCATCACAATTACATTTGGCCCAATAAAAATGCTTTTGTCCAGGAGACCTATATGAAAATTCATTAAAACATAGTAAGACACTAGCAGGATTCCAGCTTTGTCCCAAAACAGTTAAAAAAGTATGTACTGAACAACATTATGAATGTATTTTATCTGAATAGATAGGGAATGCTACTGAAACTAAATGAAAGAACAATCATGAACAACTAAAGAAGTTAATTTCAGAGTTCACAGATTTGGAGTTTCAACTGCAAAAATAGCTTTTTAAGTTTATTTTTAACACTACAAAAAATATCTGCATAAAAAGGCTTTGAGCAAAACCTTGACAGATTTTTAAGTACTGAAGCAATATATTTACCTGGTTCTTCTTGTTCATCAATATCTTGAGGATCTGAACCACTTCTATTACGATATTCCTTACAGCTTTTTGCCTTCCGAGTTGCCATTTCATCATCAGTGGCCTCTCCACTTTCACCCTAAAATAATGAGCAACATAATAAACATCCCAAACCTACTATCTGCATTTCATTTCAGTACAATCTGTAACAAAACCATGAGATAAATCAGCTATTCCTTACGAAACAGACTCCTGTGATGCCAGTAACAGTAGAAAAGAGACAACGTAAACAGATACATAGCATGGGACCATTAGGTGTTACCTCAGTTTGACACCACACAGAAGATAATGATTGTGCCTCTCTAGAATGCTGCAGCTGGTTTTACACTATTTCACTGGTGCACTGGAGCTCTAAAGAGAATGGATCTTGTATTTGAGAATCTTTCTACCTGCCCACTAGAAAATGTGGGTAGCGTAGAGGTGCTAGTCCTGCATTTTCCTCTCTCCTGCCTACTGTTGAAAACAGTTTTGTCCAGGAAAAGAGGAGACAGCCAGACTAGGTCATGTTCCTGTCACCCACACAAGATAAAATGCAAGCTAATGCAATGTGGAATAACAATCGTAGTGTTTTTCGAAACATGAAAGCATAAAGGATTAAAAAAAATTACACCAACCTCCAGACACCACTTTGCATGTTAAGATTTTTATCACCACCAGTATGTTATCTTTATACCGAGGTAGCACCTAAAGGCTGCATGAAGATTCTGTCCCATTCTGTTAGCCCTGGCACCTACACACCCTAACAATGCTGCAAGCATGAGAAAAGAACAAACTATTGGAAAATAATAATCCTCAAACTTGAAATGACAATAAACAGTTTTAAAATCATCATCATCATCATCAAACTTCTTTTCTCTGGTTCAGAACACAGCTATACAGTGACTACAAGGAGGAAACTAAACACACGAATAGCAAAATATTCTACCCTGATGAGTACTTTCTTCTTTTTCTTAGCTGTACTGATTCCCAGAGTGTTGTTTCTCTGCACATTGGGCTTCTCAGTGCTTTTGGTGAGAGATCCCGTGCCTGTGCTTCTTGTACTCCATCGTCTGCCTCCAAAGAGCTCAACAGCCTGAGCCAAGGTTGGGCCTTCAAACCTTCCATCCTCCTACAAAGATTCTCAGTGTTAACAAAACAAGGAGAATAAGGACATATTTTTAAAGCAATAATATAGATCTCTGAGGAACCAATGAAACCAACATCAAGAGGAGACAATTTTTGATTACTGAGTGAATTCCCCAGGGCTATTTTGTTTGCTGCTTTGGGGATGCTTTTGGCCCTAACTATTATCACTCATTATTCTGGTGCCCTTTTAAACTACAGTCATTGCTTTTTTCTTTTGTATTTAATAAAATATTTATTTCAAAACTCCAAACATATCAGCTTTGTAAGAAAAAAAATTTAACCTCAGTGTATTGAAAACTTGCAAGGTTTGACATAACCTTGTATGGAGAATCAGATCTTGCTGCTTAATCCGTGTTACAAAATTGGAGATTTAGTGTTAATCTTTAATCTAATCTTACTTATGATGGAAACTAATTGCATTACATTAAGCTGTTGATATCTTTGAACTTTTTAATAGAGAATCACAGCATCTTTTACCTGGTAAAGGCTGACATACTGTTTCCGTAGCCACTGTAGTCTTTGATCAGGGAATCTCCTCATTTTTCTTACAGCTTTAGTCAATTCCAGCAATCCATCATACAGCATTCTGGCAGTGTATTTTGGAGCAACAAAGTGCAGCAACTTGTTATCAGTAGTCTGAAGTCCATAAAGTAGTGTTATACCATTTTCTTCAAGGGACATATTGCAAAGCTTATTTTGAACACACACAGTGTGCATATCAATGCCCGAGTGTCCCATATATACAGCCTTGGCTGAAAACAAGTCCAAAAAGCCTTCCACCAGTCCACTATTACCAAGAAACTGGTATTTACCAAGCTCAGCAGTATTGCCCAGCACACTCAGTTTTGCCTTGGCATTTGCAGGGCAAACTGTGGTGGGTTTTGTCCAAGTCAAAGTACTATTGTCAGGCTGGAGCTGGAGGAAGCAGCGAGCTGAGAGATGTGTCTCCTGGTCGTAATGAATGACGGTCGCCCCTTGCTGCATGAACTGATGGACGTCAGCCCTGATGGACAACACATACCAGGGAATGAGTTCTATCCCATGGCAGAAAGCTTTTTGCTGCTCTTCTGTTGAACTGGTGTCCCATTCTTTCAACTGCTCAAATATGTCACTTTCAGAATCTGAAAGATCGCCGATGAGAAATCTGCATGCGAGAAAAGATGAGAGATTTATATTTAGTGATACATGTGCTGACTTGTGCTATGCTTGATGAGTATTTTTCTGCTGTAGTTTAAATAAAGGGAATACTATCATCACTATGTAATTGGGACTTGCAGGAATCTGTGTAATTTTTGAAGTATTACAATTTATGTTATTGCAATTTTGCATCAATTAAGAGATGCTGCTACAATTACTTATAACTCCTGAAACAGTATGATTATACTTTCCTAGAACTTTCCAAACTTTGCATTAATAATAAAGAGTGTCTGATTGGTTCTTAAGGCCAAGTGATACCAGTTTCTAAATCCTCTGTGTAAGATTGCTTCAGCTGAAATGTTAAGTGCCATATGTGGAAACTGTTAGCAGGATATAGCGTATTTCAGACAGGACTTCTAATCTCTGTTCTATTACTGATTTAATGTGCAGACCTTTCACATTGTATAATATTCTGATTAAAACAAGTAAAATACTGGTTAAAATACATATCTTCCTCATAAGAATGCACAAAGAATTTTATCAGATACTTTCCATGAGAAATTTTATTTTACTTAAGGAAAATATGAACATAAACTTGTATGCAGCAACCAAAATTTCTGATCTATTTTGCAAAAATTAGAAACAGTAGATGCAGAGAAACAATACTGAGCTAATAGAAGAGGTAGTGAAAATGAAATGTCTTCCCTGCAGAAGCTTCTAACATGTATGAATGCACAAATGTTCAATATTTGGGTACTTCAGTGAACATAGACACAGACAAACTGTTCTGTGTACAACAGAACTAATGAAGCACATTTTCCTAATGATAGCCAGGCAATAGAATACAAACCATCTTCTTCTACATATCCTTCAAGATATCTTATCCTAATACCCTCTTTGGTTCCCCTTCCTAGTACCACAGTATTCCCAGTTCCTGCCCCTTACCTACCAACTAAGCCAAAGATGACTCATGTTGTGTTTCCAAGTCACATACACCATCTCCCCCAATGCTAAACAGCACAGATGACCATCAGCTTTTCCTCAAACTCTCCTCTACCTGGATGACAAATTAATCTGAATTTTTCCCTTATTCCATACAGCAATGATTCCTCTATGAATTTATTAATGGGTGAGATTGCAGACTCTTCACCAAATTTATAAAAAAGTGGCAAATAGGTTGAGGTTTTATTGCTGTGGTGAAGGGACTGACAAAATAACTGCACTGGTCTTACGTGTAGCTTTGTTTCTTCAAGAAATATTCCTACAAATAAAGGTCATGCGTTTTAACTGAGCTGATCTGTATTATATAAAATTACATTTTAAAATGAAACAAGCAACTGAAGCAGCTCTTTCTTCCCTATGCCCTCAAAACAATGGAACAAGTCTCTGTACAAATGCTATAACATGTGTTTGGAGAGTAGCTGTGCATGGCTGGAGGAGTCTATCACAGCAGAGACAGAAATGGCAGACTTTTGCTTATGCCTGGTTTCACATGTTGCAGGCTGCAGATTAGAATGTACAAGAAGCAGGTAAGCCAAGCACACACACGTAAGCACACACAGAAATGGAGCCTCTGACACAAGCTGCCAAAAGCGACACCGCTGCCAATTCCTCAGAGCACTTACAGAGCCTGGGCTGGACCAGGGCCTTTCTTTACATGCGCTGCCCTGAGAGGCAAGGAAATGAAAAGTAAAGGAAACAGTGACACAGATTGCAGTTTTAGAGGAGAAAATTGCAAGGTATACAAAAAGAAAAAAACAACCTGAGGTTTTCCCCTACTATTTTATATGTTATTTACTGTAACTGGAAAGTTTTAATGTGAAGATAAGATCAGGCTAATGAAGCAATGATTCAAAGTAAGGAGTATCTTCATAGGTCACTCACTAATTAACAATTCCATAAAAACTCTATTTCAAATTTGCTTGGTGGGGTTTTGTTTTTTTTTTCATTTTCCTGCATACCTTTATTTTTTAAAAAATTATTAATCAACAGAACAGAGTTCTAAGAAAGATTAATGTTTGATATTTATCTGGCATGTACAGAAATCCAGGGCAATTAGATGGGTCACTGACTATAGAGTGATAGAGCTTATTTGCTAACGCAACTAGGAAAGTAATTATACTCACTGCCCACTGATTTTATTAGATGCCTTTCATTTTCTTCAAATCAAATTAACCTACCAGCTTTGGTGCATTCATGTTCCACAATACTAATCCAAATCATCAAAAGAAAAACTAATTGAAAATCCTTCTTACAATTACAAAGTAATGAGAAACATGTTTTGCAGTGTATTTTTCTGCCTTTATGACCACAATGTTACAATTATCAGATAATGCATAATTATGTTATAATTTGGATTTTATAATACTGTATGCAAATATGACAGGTCTCACCAGAAAGAGGACTACATTTCTTCCTTAGAACCCTTTAGCTGTTCATAGGAATAAAAATAAACCAAACACAGCCTCCATGCAAGTACAACAGAACATGGCTTTTCTGCCTCCATAGCAATTTGCTCCTGTGCCTCACCCAGTTCTCTGCATGCCCAGGAACAACATGGCAAGTTAATAAGGAATTTCCAAAGCCTGTGAGACACTTGAGCTAAATCAGTACTTTCAGAACTATTCTCCTACAAGTATTTTACTGTTAAAATCAGTATTTACTGCATCAGAAGTACTGACACTTATAACTGAGTAGGTAGTGGCCTGAACCTGGAAACACAACTTTAATTACCTATCTGCAGTTTTGTTCATTTAAATTTTAAATTTTCATTTCAGATTCACACTGGATTTTTTAAAAAACTGAATTCCTACTTTAATTTGGAGTGCAACTCACTAGATTACATTTATGAATAAAGCATAAGTAATTTACCAAGAAATTATTTCATAAAGACATGAAAAAGGAACTCCATTTAATTTCTATTTTGTTCATCCAAGTGAAGTGTTTATATGCCTTGCTTATTCACCATTTGAACTGTGATTTGCAAGTTGATTTTTAAAGCATATTAATTAATAAAAAAATAATTCCTGGAAGAAAGTATTAGTACTTGAAAGTGCTATTTGAAGTAAGTCAAGAGACAGCATACGTGGGCAGAGAAGTGGGTCTGTCTTTCTTGGCTTAATCTAGTGCACCACTTCCTAGAACCAACTAAAGCCAGATGCGAATAATTCTATTAGAAACCATTCTTTCAGGAAATCATGATTATTTATTTTAAATGAAATTTAGAATTACATGTTAATGAAATAAATGCATTTTAAACAGGAAGATAGCAGTTGCCTCTCAGTCAGTCACTTTTTAGATTTAATGTTTAAGTAGGTGAAGTAAGTTGGATAGTTCTGAACATACTGATATTTCTGACAGACATTATTAGTAAAATAACTCAAGCAGTGACTTAAGCATGTTTTTATACAAGCCCTGACGTAATTTTACAACAGCACTAAAGTTCTGTTACTTAATTTGAAGTTAGTCTAACACAGTTACTTAGTTGAAAGCTGACCTGACACACCTATGTCTACATGGGCTTTGCAATGAAACTTCTCTGCAAAGCAACATTCTAGAACGTCCTGTGATGTCCTAAATTTTGCATTTCCTGTATTTCCTGCTGGTGACTAGTACAGTCTTCAAGAGTGGTCTTCGAAGTGAAATCAGATTACTGAACACTGGGCTTTTTTTACACAGAGCATAATGAAGTAAACATCTTTGCAAAATAGCAGGACTACAGCAACCTGAAAATTCAAAATATGTACTCACACATGAATGTTTCCTGGACAAAACTGAAACCTCTCAAAGTAACATGTCCTTAAAAGAAGAAGTCTTTTAAAGGATAATAAATAACCTTTTTTGAAGGGGCCAGAACACTGCCTGAGCATGCAGAATATAATGTTCTGAGCTCTGATAACAAATATGTCCTGGTGCTATTCCTGTCGCTAGAGATCAAAATTGTAATTGTAACTGTGGATTTTTAAAGCTCTCTGTGTAAGACAAAAAGGATTTACCCTTATCATGAGAGGAAGTAATTACATCATGAGGGAAAATATAGCTATACAGAGAGTTTCCAAGCTGTTGAGTATCAGGGGAAAAAAGTTCTGAACTGGAAATGGATAAATACAAGGAAAAATGCTAAAGTTGCTCTTATTTCAAAAGGCAAGCCTTGGTAAAAGAAAATCGAAGACTAAAACCATGACATATAGAAGTGGTGATAGTAAATAAAATGAGACCTACTGGTAGCGGTTTTTGTCCTTCAAGGAGTTTTTCCTTGAGCTGCTGCCTTCACTGGCATTATCTTCACCCTCTTCAGACTCCAAACTGCGATTGCAGCTCCGAATTGTTTGAAAGATATTGTTTGTTGTTGATTCTTTTTCTGGATTGTTTAAACCATCTTGGCCTACTCGTTGTAGGAAATTATCTTGTCCACTGTAATCTGAAACAAACTATAGAGATGTCGAAAAGATTAGTATAGCTACAAATAGAACCTTGTGTCATCTACTTCTCACTGTAGAAATTTTTACTATTAAGAACATTTAGTGCATATTTCCTAATTGCTTCCCATGGAATTTTGTATCTACTTGCAACACAAAACAGACCAAATAATTTCATAAATCAAATAAGACAAGTTAAAGTAACTCCTGGAAACTTAAAAAAAAGCCTCAGTCTTCAATGCTTCATCTAACAGGAACATTTTTCTTTTCAAACTACAATAATAGAATTCATAAGAATAGTTTTTTTCCATAGAGGAAAAGCTTGATCTGCTGAGCTTCTAAATTCTGTTTTTAAGAAGCTGCAAACTTCCAATTCCCAGTGAATTAAGTGGAAGGTCAGAGTATTTAGCAGAAAATAATAACACATTTCAGGCTTTACATATTTACTTAATCCACAGCATAAACAACATCCTTTTTTACTAATGCTGATTTCTCAGTAGTCTGATATTGAACTAGGTAGAAACAACCAAATCTAAATTGCTAAGGAACTATGGGAATTAAATTGATATCAATGTAACTGACCAGTCTAGTAACAGTCTGGTTTAGAAAACTTTAGTTTGATGATGCCTGTGTGTAAGATTATATAAAATAAAGCACTGGCTAAGAACATAACATCTTAGAATATTTGTTTCATTTACCTCTAATGTTTCATCCTGGGAGTTATATCGTGGACAGAGTCTGATGAGGCTTGATGCTCCATCCAAAACTTCACAGAGCTCTTTTAAAAAGACACCACAGAAAGGAACAACTTTGCAGCCTGGAATATTGAGTGCCCGGTTGACCACTTTCCTGTATTCAGATGATGACTCATGTTGTGCCATAGCATCCTTCAGACTTCGCATGGTTTCAATATCAGACTGGTCCATAAATTGCCACATTTTTAAAACCTTTCTAGACCTATTGCAAGAAGGGATCACAAAATTTATTAAAAAAATTTCAACAACTTACCTTCAAGTCCAATACCTGCAGCATATATGTAATAGAGAAAATTATAATTGCTCAAAAATGAATGAATGAAATCAAAGCCATTATTTTTATAAAAATTCCCCTTTGAATTATCAAAGAACAAAACTAAAAATGAGAAACTAGCAGTATGATCTACTGGAGCAGTATTTTACATTTTAATAAAAGCCCAGCTGCTTAAAACATACCAGTAGGCTCTCTAACATTTTTATTGTGTCATTGCCTAAAATTTCTAAGGGCCCATAAAGAAATAAGAAAAGACTGGAAACAGCATAAAGATAAAGCAGAGTGTTTCTTACAAATTCCTTCAGCTATATTATGAACAATCCATAAAGTAAGCAAAAGTTGGAGTGTTTAAGTTAAATTTATTTTTTAAAATTTACATTGATTTCTTCCCCAGTTTGCTCACAAATGATTTACTTTCACAGAAATAAGGAAGTCATGTTCAATCTCTCAGGCACCAGTGCAGAGCTGTAGCTGAAAAGAAATTCTGCTTTCCAACAGAAATAGCTGCAAGGACTATGAGTACCCCTGGGAGTTCTTTTACCTTCTGAGCTGTATGTCTGTGTAATCACATGGCCTTTCTTCCCACCCCTGGCCTCAGACATACCAAAAGATCCAAAGATACCTCACAGTAGACTGCCCTTAACCCCACTTTCCATCCCTATCCTGAAATGCTGCTCATCAGCACTAACTCTCCTCTCCTTTCTCTCCTGCGCTGTGCAAATGCATTAGAGACAAAATTAAGCCCTTAATTGGCCTTGCATTTTCCCTCATAACTTACATGGCTTAGAGATGGTGGATTTATTCTGCTGAAATATACTCCCCATGCCTATGAGTGTCCCAAAAGAGCTTTATATACCAAAACCATAAACAAATAGCTCAGTGAGGTCCTTACTGAACCACAAAGAACAGCAATGCAAAACACTTTAGAGCTTTGTTACACAAACATATTATACAACGAGGGTCAAAGCCAAGAGATAGGAAACTTGATCTTAACTCTTCCCTGTTCAGAGGCATTTGCTGTCCTCTGAACTGCCAGTGCTAAGGCACTGCCTTCCTGCTCCCTGGCCCTACAGGAACCTGTCATTCCAGAGGAAAGAACACAATGAGCTCTCTCTGAGCCCCTTACTCTCTCCTCCTTGAGATAATGCAGGTCCTTCTACATAAGACCATGACAGCATGAGATCCCAACATCAGTCTGTGTAAGTAAATCAGAGGAGTTAAACACAGATTTGGCTGTTTGGTCTTTTGAGGGTATTTTGTCATTTTCGGGTAATTTCTTTTTTACACTTAAGACTGATCCTTTTAGAGCATCACCATGATCATGCTTCACTTATATTCTGGAGACTCCAACCACAAGTTACATTAGTTATAGCTCATTAGATAAACCACAACTGCTTTCCCACCTTCTTTTTACATTTTTCAAAATTTCTGTTAAAAAAAGTTTTGCAATGCAACATATTCAACATGCACTAGGAAAACGGATGGAGTTCTCAGAGCATTTTGAGAAAAAAAGAAAGGGTTTAGCATGCTTCATTTTTCAAAAAGGGATTACTAGAAAGTCACAGCATGAGATGATGTGGCTTAGCCATGGATTTTTGTTTAGTTTTCATTGTTCTCCAGAGACATCTGCTTAACAGAGGCTGCAATGCAATCAATCACTGAAAAGCCATTAAAAAAAAAAAAAGAGTTGCCAGTACCTTAGCCCTGCCAGGAATTCCATTACAGCATTGTAGTTGCCCATATTCCAGCAGCATTTTGCCACATGTACTAAGTATGAGAAGACTTCTCGTTTCTCCTCCATAGAACCTGCAGTCAGGATCAGCCAGGTAACCCAGGAGCTCACCTGGTAAAACCAAACAGACAGTATGGTCAGCCAAAGCAACGACCCTTGGAACACTCATGCATCCTTGACAGATAACATGGGTTTGGTTGGTTTCTTCCATCAGGAGGGTATCAGTCAAAATTCCACTTACAGGCTCATAGCCAAATCACATATGGATTGCAAACACAACCTACACAGTGACATTCACATGACAACAGTTAAATCATTAACTAGTCTAGAAAAACTTTTATTAAACAAAAAACTACTGCATCTTAATATAAGATATTCTGAATCTGCATTGATGCCACAGAAGAAAATGGACAGCTTCAGCTAGTGCTGATTTCTAAAGCTGCTGGAGAGATCTGCAGTGTAATTTTGTCATTAACATGGCTTATAGATCTCAGTCCCACATAACCCTTGTCAACAATATGAACAGTGAAAGTTGATAAATTGGAATTTTTGGTTTTGGTTAATTTCATAAAACTAGCTGCATTTAATGCACAATTTTGCTAATTCCTACATGCACTGAAGATTTCAGATATTTTGCATTATTTGTTTGCAAGATCACTAATCAAGTAAATAAAAAGAATTCCCATCTTTCAAAGTGCGCCCGTACTACCAACCTCTCTTTGGTAATTAATTAATGCTGGAATCAGAAATCAACTTAGTACATGATTCTGTTTGTATTTAAACAAATAAGAATCAACCCTTCATTTTATCAGTGTGCAGATTTTCTTTCCAGTTTATGTTCCCACAATATCCATAAAAAGTAGCTATATTTCACATGGAAAACTAATTTAAACCAACTGTTTCTTTTTACAATATGACTCCCTGGAGGCTTGATTTTTGTCATTGTGTAAACACTTAGGAGGCAATAAATGTGATTTGTTTACTGACACTGTGTTCCATTCTTTGGTCCTGAAGAACTCAAGTGTTTACAGATAATACCAGTGTGAAGAGAGGCTTGTAAAAATTAGGAAAGGCTAGTTCACCCCTCAGGGGCCACAGACTTTTATTTTAAAAACCAAGCATGTGAAATAAAATGTAAATGCATTAGTACTAACAGGAAAATAACCCTCCTGAAAATATATAGGGTTTCTATTTATGCAAATCTATACAGACTCTGTGTTCCAAGCCACCTGCTCCTGAGGGAGGAAAATCAAAGACTACAAAAAAATCTAAGTTACTATTTAACCTGTCTGAGGGCAACATCAATCAAGAACAATAAATGAGAAATGTCCATATGAGAAGAAAAGTCATACACCCTATATAGAAAAAAAAATTTAAAAGTCACACTATTGGGACTGAATTCTTGAAGATTCATTCACTGGGGACATACTCGGGAGTGAGGACAGTGACTATGGGGATGCTGCAATAAGTTGTGTGCATCAGGGGCAGCACACTAAACACTGCAGCAACTCAGAATGAGATTCTGAATTCAGCTAAAATTTTATTTGGTGTATTTACTTAGTTACTCCTAAAATATAAAAACTCAATCGACCAAGAAGTGCATACCCAAAGAACATGAAGGTATGGAAAATACAAACCACCATAAACTGCATGGCACGGGGGTCAAATGAGGGCAAAACCAAAATAAAAGGTAATAAAACAAATCCATTAAAAAATCAGAAACTGTGAAACAGAACAATCAGATCTGTGGCACAGATTTGTTTTTGTATGCTGGAATAAAGTGACATATTATTTTTGGAGATTATTCTCATTTTCCAGAAATGGCTCTGTTAGGGAATGCAACTGCTAAACATGCAATCTCACAAAAAAATTAATATTTGTTTGCTATGCAATACCAAATGTGGTAATGACTTGATTAATATGGTTTTATAAGTTTGAAAGAATCATATAATTTTAAACAGATATGTTTTAATCTAAAGTAGTAAAGATGTAATGATCAGAGAAAACAGTATCAAAATTGAGAAAGAATGTTTAAATAGGCAACTGACTTCAGACTCTCCGTTAACAGGAAACCTTTAAACTAGAGCAGCCACTTGATGAAATTCTATTTAACAGAGAGTTTAAGACCGCTATAAACAGGATGATGAACTTTTACAATCTGTAATCACAAACAAAAAACTATAAAGGGCAGCATGGGTGAGCCTTTGCTGACTTGAGATACTGTATAACATGTAAGAGCAAAAGAAGGGTACAAAAGGCACCATGAAGTTCACGTTCACTCCTCCTGTAGGACAACCACAGAGGAGTAAAAAACATTTTAAAAAATCTTTCACTAAACAAGAAAATAAGGTGTCTGAATCTTTTAATTCTAAAATAGAATAGGAAAAGGCAGATATAACAGATTGGGCAGAATCAGGGGACAGAAGTGAGCATCTAAGACACAAACCACTCCTGAGAAATAATGAACATGACTGCTTTAGAAATGTTGGTATTTTAATTTTTCCTGGAACAGATGGTATTCAAGCAATAACAAACTTATCAAATTTTCATTTAAATGGGAGTTCAGAAGTGGGTTTCCTCAGATGCTGTCCATGTACAGCTGAGCTAGATGGACCTCACACAAAAGCAGAGAACTCTATAGGTACTTATTTTTTGGTGGCTATGGAATTCACCTGGAAGCTGAATTCAGAATCCTACTTTGGCAAGCTATTAGCATAGATGGTATTTTGATGTGGCACAATTACCCTGTCACTAAATCCATGGGTTTCTAGTGGGGGAAGAGAGCAAAAGGAAGCTCCATCCTGGCAAGCTCCGACTCCTGGACACTCAGCCAAGTGGATACAGAACAGCACCTCCTCTTGCAGCATTTCTTTCTTGGTTGGCTTGCAGAGCCACGTCCCCAGCAGCAGCACAGCCGAGGAACACCTGACCTCAGGATGCAGCACCATCAGCTGCCTTGGTACCAAGCTGCCATGACATCAGCACGAGAGCTTCAGGGCTCAGGCAGTGCCTGAGCACACACAGCACATCCCAGCCAAAGAGTGCACAGGAGTAGCCTTGCCAAGGAGATCAAACTGCATTGCAAGTATTTGTCAGAAAGAGCAGTAAAGCTTTTTGGACTAAGTTTTCGTGTTGGACAGCACTTTAACATCAGATCATGATCTACGTTTCAACACAGTAATCATTATTTCCTTAGTTTACTTTTTTTTTCACACTTGACTTACATAGTTCTGTTTATGTAAGTCATTTTAAGCTCCCTTCAGAACAGAAATCATCACAGCAAACCTATAATTAGATTTCCGCTGCACTGCTGATGAGTCTGAAAAGCCTGAGAAAATGTATCCTGGCTCTGTTACGGTAACCCACATGATGGCAAGACACAAGAACAGTAATGAATTAACACACAATCCACTTAAACAAGTAGATAATAACATCAGTCTTTTCATTCAGATGGATACAAATGAGTGTCATCCAGGATTACTGGACACTAATATTAAGTACTAAACAAGCAAAATTGAATAGATGTTTGCTTAAGATTTAAATATTTTCTGGTGCCCTAATAGAACCACTAACAACATTGAGCCAGATAAAGTTCAGATACATAGAAAGTAGTCTCATTTGCAAGGTTAGGAGATATAGGAATCTCCTTCAAATCTGAATCTGAGCACACAGGACCTGTACCCGATGTCCTGGCAATGCCACCTATACTGAGCAATATGTACTACAATTTGTAGTACAAAAAGATCTGTACAGTTTCAGGTTTTCTGACATTATCTTTTTATATAAAATCTCTACTATTTTAACTGCACCAAAATCTGTGGCATTCAATAACTAATTTAACTATTTTTTAGGCTTACCTTACTTCGATCAAAGACTTCAAGTAAATTCAGGTTAGCTATTGCTAATGCACTTGAGAAAGGCATATTTTTACTAGTGTTATTATTAGTTTTTACTTTTAAACGTGGGAAATAGATATCAGTCACTAAAAATGTAAAATGAGCCTATGTTTTTGATTACCTAATTATTGGACTACCCCTGATTTCAAGACAAATCTATATGCAGGCAAATATCTACCAATTTGTCAGGGCCAGGATATAGCTTATTACTGAGGGTCAGCTGCTTTTACTAATAAAACATGAAGGACATGAAAGAGACACTCCTGATGGAACTTGATCCTCAAGTTATGGTGCATGACCTTAAATCCCTGTACAAGTGAAACCTACAGGACTGTTTATCATTCACTCTATGGGAACCTCGCTCCATGTAGTACACAGGAAGGAACAGCATTTAATGCATGTTGAATTACTAACTGTATCCCTAAATCTGTCATGGATTTTCTTCAATCATTCTCTTATTTCAGTCTTCTAATACTCAAAATTTAGATTATTCATATATAGATATATAAATTCTTTACTATCCTCTATATACCTCCTAGAGAATGCATTATGTGATTTTTTTTAATGGGAATTAACTTATTTTTTATATTTTATGAGAATGCAAATGTAGTGGTGCTTTGAGGGAGGAAATTATTAACAATTTCCAGTTGCAATGTGCAGTGTTTTATCATCTGTAGTGTTTTACATTCATTTCACCAACACTTCAGTTTGTAAAACTTTTACAGCAATTCCCAAGCTACATACTTCAGTGGCTGATGCTACATGGAAGAAATTATGTCTTCTATATTTATATTACATTTTTAGGAACTTCATAATACTTGAGAGATGCAGCTTTCAGGGGTTTTTTATTACCAAACGCAGCTGCCTGCCTGAAGTTTAGCAATTACTGTTGCTAGCAAGTAAAACAAATTCTTCTGGTTTGCCACAAGGTAAGATTACAGTACATACCTTCCTTAACTCCTACCATAAATTAGCCATGGATATCTTTCTATAACAAATTGTAGCTGATTTAAATACTGCCTAAACTGGAGCAAGAAAGAAAGAAACTTTAATACTGACAAAATCAAGTATGTGTATGAAAAATCTCTGCATACAAAACAAGAAGATGATTTTTAAGGTATCCAAAGGATAAGCATGGCAATCTATAACCCATTTAACCAAGTCAATCTGGTCTTAGTAATTTTGTTTGATAAAAATCAAGACATTTGAGGAAAATCTGAAGAGCATGAATAATAATCTTCATCAGATATCATATGGTAATCATGGCAAGAGGGAAAAATATTACTTTGTTTAAAAGCAGAATTCTTAGTGTATCAGGATAGTCCAATTTCTCCCTTTAAAAACAATAATTAAAAAACACTAGCAGTATGCAGCATTAGCACTAATAGCTGCCTGAAGTGAGTTCCTCTGCACTGCTAACTGTGCACACACCTGTCAGCGCATATTGATGAATATCTGTGTATATATTTATACAGAGCTCTGTGTATAAAACAGAACTGGAATTTTTTACATGGGTTTCACTGAGGTTAAATTATGAATTTTTTTTGGCTCTTGGTATAATATGCAAGATAATTTTTGTGTGCATTTTTAATATCTGAATATTTTAAATTGCATAGCTTATTAATAGATGGTTTACTTAACACACTTGTGTGAAATTATATAACATTACAGAGAACATTTACCATTTTAAATCTGACTAAAAACTATTCCAAACAAGGACTGGAAAGAGTTTGATATTTGTACAAACACAATCTTTTAAAAAGCATTATGCAAACCCATTTAGGCATCGCAAAAAATGCTGAACTAAGAGACAGACTGCAATATTTATTTACATTCCATTATTTCAGTAAAATGATATGTCTCTGTTTTGCTAGTGAGGTTTAAATTTGTATTTTGAATGAAAAATGAAAAAACCTTACAAAATTTAACCATTAAAAATAAAACTATCATCACTAAGTATCCTAAGTAACCATACTTTAATTAACTTTATTGATTTTAAGAATGGTTTAGTGAGTGATGAACCCACTCCAGTAGCAGGGCTATACTAACACTGTTCAAACTTTTTCACCTTTTTAGCTTATTTTTTGGCAACCATATCTTTCCAAAAAAATCACCTTATGCATTTGACTTCTGATTTTGCATTTTCAGTTCAGCAGTGGGACTAACTTCAGTCAGCTGCCTGTCTTCCAATCTGATGCAACTTTCAATTTAAGAACCCACAACTGCTCTGTTCACATATGTCAGCATGGAAAATTAAATGTTTCAGTTTGTTTAAAGTTTTACTGGCTTTCTTTTACTTGAAGCTTCAGCCAGAAACATCAAGTTACAAGGGACTCTTTTCATGTTTATATAAAGCAATGATTGAAATGATTTTAAATGTTTACATACACATGAATGTTTACAGCATGTGCATTGTGCTTGTGTCTCCGCGGTCGCTTTGCTGGTAACAGGCAGAAGAATGGTTGGGAGTCAGTCATAAAGGTGCAAGAGCCTGGGTGGGGTAAAGGGACAGAAAAAGAAACAGAATCCCAGGAAGACTGTGCCATATGACACTGGGGAAAGAGCACATGTCACTCCATGTAAAGAAGCAGGGTGAAGTCATGTCATACAAGAATCGGAGAAAAGAACTGAATCAAGAAGAGAGGCACAGCAGGCAACAAGGAGAGATGGCAAAAATGTATGTGCCAGTTGTTACGGTCCTAAAACACACTGAGGTACCATTTTCCTAACTTCCCAGCTGCCAGGGCTCTGCTAACTCTGCAGAATCTCAATGGCTTCTTCCTACAGTTTTACATCCTTGAAAACTAAACTTCTTATAGCCAAAGCTCCATCAGAGCAGAAAAATACATTACTACCACTATGGAGTGCACAGTCTTAGAAACTTAGAGCCAATAGTTTTGTAAAGGTAGATGTAACTGTATTTCACTCTAATCCTCCCGCTAGCCACTAATTCAGAATCAGCTTTAAATTACATTTAGTAACAGGAAAGAATATCTGCCTTTAGTTTGGTCTAGAGCCTTGCTCTGACAGGACTCTAAGATCAATTGGATATTATTAGCAGCAAATGAAGTATGAGCTGTGTCTCACCGGTGAGTACGTGTTGTGCACAAGGCTCCACTATTATGCAATTCCATTTTTAATCAAACCCTAAAGACTACAGGCTTTATTTATAGCTGATGATACTGTATGCATGTAGTCCAAAATCTTCAGGATTGACTGCCATTTTACACAAGTTTTATAGAGTGTTCCTCCTTAATAGGTATTGTCTGAAAAAAATACTAAAAAGTACACTGCTTTATGAAAAATTCTCAATATAATTATTATTTAACAGAAAAATGACATGGAATTGTTTTTCCCCATCATGTATCAGAAGCCTGTCATCCTAAAAGTAATTTTGGCTCCCACATTATAAATACACTTCAGTATTTCTATAGGGAATGCCAAAAAAATCAGCAAGTGCTCACTGAGTTTTGCCAACAAAATCATGACTCTTTGTACAAGAATTTTCTTTCCATTTATAAACAAAGACACTTTGAGAGTTCACGCTCATGATTGGCTATGGCAACTGATATACTCCACTGTAAGATAAAGCATATAGCAAATCAGTGATTTATGACAAGCAGTAAATATTTTACAGTAACTCCATTTAAACACATAACATCTATGTTTTTAAAAATGTATTCCCAATTATACTTCAAATAATCTACTGCACTAAATACCAAAGAATCTGTGCACTGAATATTTGGGAATTAATTCAAATGATATAAAAACTATCCTGTACAATTACCAAACAAGGAACGCCAGACAACAAAAACTGGAAAGTCAAAAACCTCCAAGATTCAAAGCTAATGCTGACTATCTTATCAAAAGGCAACTTTAATGCTAAAATTGTCATTGATATGGAACAGACTCGGTCATTTCTGACAAGACTTCTTCAGGACCTACTTGCTTTTCAATCCTGTGACCCTTCAATGTCAGAACACAATCCTGGTCAGTCTGATTTGTACAGCTGATGGCCACATGTCCTCAGTGCACTGCCCTGGCACTGTGCCTCACCAGGCTGCACACAGCTTGGCCAGTGCACCTCATCTCCCCTGGCCTCAGCCCCACGAGAAGCCCCTCAGGAGGGAGGGCCCCAGCAGGGTTGGCACCGACAATCCTCTCCAGCCACACCAGCCACAGCATCTTCTGTAGTCTGTTCCAACAGAGTACTGCTACTGCAGCTAATTAAAACCATTTTTAGGCTCTGTTTAAAGACTGAATATTGTAGTTGCAACTTTTATGCATGTTCTCATAATTGAATGAGGTGAGAGAAGCCAATATATTTACCCTATTATAGTTGCTAAATCTCAGTAATACACAAGAAGGAACACTTTGAAACATGCTAAATATTCACTCCCTGATTCTTCTTTGCCCAGCACACAGGAAGTTCTCTGGGGGTCAATACACATTCTTCTACATTTACTTAATTTTATGCTTTTTTTTTACTACTTGCTTAGTAGCAAAAAAATTTTCTACTTGCATAGTAGTAAAAAAATTTTCATCTCACCCCCTATAAGAATGTAGTGGATAGCAAACTAAAAAAGCATTAAGTCAACTTTATCTTCATTTTATTCCACTTCTACAATTCTAGAAACTGCTAACATCACACATAGTTCACCCCCCCCTCCCCCCAAAAAAAGAACGAACTGTTCCATGTTTCTGCAGCTAAACCAGGAGTTTTTATTTAGGTGGTTTGACTTTTGATTTGGGTTGGGGTTTTGGGTGGATTTTTTTAACCATTTTCCCAATTCTTAATCAGTTTTCTATTAAACTCGTCAGAAGACCACCTTTCTGAAAACAAAATAAAATCTTACTAAAGAACTCAACATTTGGCTTGTGAAAATGTCATGCCAAGTGACACTTCTTTGTATAACAATGCTTAAGATACACACAGTGGTTAAATAAATAGTGCAGACTAGTGTAGTTATACTACAGAAAATACAGAAAACTCTATAATACTTCTGTGCTGACTCCTAATATCATGCTTAGTCTACAAGAATCCGAAACAAATAAATAGAACTCCAGCACCTAAACAAACTAATGAATTGACTGAAACTTTAACCCATACTGTCAGTATAAATACCAAGAATTAGAAGTCTGTAATTTTTTCTTCATGTTCACTTTACAATGTGCAAGAAAAAGGTAGGCAACTGTTTCCCAACCTCACTGAGCAAATTGATCACATAGCTCCTATTAAATTCAATGCAAGTTATTTAGCTAAATAACTGGTCATCTTAATTTACATTTTAAAAAGTTGCTGTTACAGCTAAATTTGGCTCGGAGAGATAAAAGAAATAACAAACACATACATCAGGTAATAACCCTTACAAAAAGCAATTTAAAAGTTTTGTTTTACCTCATTAAACCTTGTCACAAGATCTTCTACAGCATTATGTTCTCCATTAGGAGAAGAAAGAATAGTAGCAGATATGGATGCCTTAATAGATGGCAGCTTGCTTTGACACTCAGCACTGCCCAAATCCCTGGTCAGGAAGCAGAGGTAGTCGATGGGTAAGACTTTGCGGTAGAGCTCCTGCTCCTGCTCGGTCAGGATGCTGGCAACCTCCTCTGGGAACTGGATGAGGTGCTGCAGCTCGATCAGCTCCCTGCTGATACCGGCCACACTGGAGGGAAGCACGCTGGAGCCAGACATGGATGTACACGCTTGGCGTTCTACAACAAAACAAAGGAAAAATTCATTAGGCTTTGCCTTTAACTCTTGGACCGTGCTGTGCGAAAGCGAGACAACATGGTGTTTTGGATTTGTTAAACTGTTCATTCATTTACTTAGCAATACACTATATTCTAAGTACTTTCCTTCTATTTAAACAACCTTCTTTTACATGTTTTTTTTTAATATCTGGTGTTGGCTAGATAGAGGGCAGCTAGAGTTAGGAGATTGTAAAGCCACCTGCCAAAACACGCCTGCTTCCAGAAACATCGAAATACCTTCTTCCAGCACCCGTGGCCTTATCACAGCCTCAAATAAAGGGCTCATCTGGCAGAGTGTGCCTCTGCTTTGCCCCCATGTAACAGCCACAGTACAAAGCAATTTGAGGGCTTGACTGGGGCACTGAGACCCGATTCCCACAAGAAATAATGTATAATGATAATTGAAAACCCATGTGGGTCAGCATTTTTCTTCATAATCCACTTGCTATAAGATAAATTGTATCTGAGCTTGCTGCATTGTGAAACCAAATGTCCAAGGCTACAAAATATTTTTCATTCCTCTCAGAAAATGCATATATTTGGGAGCATGAATGTTTTATCCTTAATACAAAACATTCATGGTAGTTTTATAATATCCCAGCAGTGATATCTCTTGAAAAATAAAACTTTTCCTAAGAAGGAAGAAGGCAAGCTTTCTAAGATCATGTGGGAAGCATGAAACATCAACACAATGATTCCAAAATACTGAGTGAATCTTCTTACTAGATAAGTTTAGAATGGGTTCTCTGAAAAATATTTCAATAATTACTTAAATGTAAAAACATTCATAGCCATATATTACATACTATTCATCATTCTCAGAAAAAGGAGTTTATTTTTTTGCATTGCTTCATGAAATATCTTCAGATTTTTTCCACACATAATGGGATTACACCCTAGAACTATCTCTTACCCAGTATTTTTAATATATTTATAAGCTCTCAAGTGATAAAGAGTGCAATTTGTTTCTCTAAGAAAGAAAAAACCAAGTTCATAATGACTGATTAAAATTCAGTCCCTTATAATAAACATAAAATATGCTACATGAGTTTTCCACTCTAAGGCATTTGTGCAAACTATTATTAATCAGAGGGAAGTTAAGAAGACAGAAAATTGGCTTTTCTTAATATAGTCTACTGAAAATCAAATTATAAATTGCAATAGCCCTAAATAAAGTCTTTGGGCTAACAGAACCTATTGAGAAATGTTCAAATAGAGAAGAAACTTCTGAAAGAACAAATTGTTTCTGTCTACACTAGCAAGAAAAAAAGTAATGGGATTAATTTGCAACAAGCAGTAGCTTGGTTATACAGCGGGAAACATATGTAACCTCGGTGATAATGAAGAAGTGCCGCACAGTATCTGCATATACTGAGAAATCTCTGTCATTGAAACACCTTAAGCAAAGATTGAGGGGGAAAAGCCAGTTAAGAACACCACTGATGTGTCACTGCTGGTTTGGGCAACAGGTGGAGTGCAGTGAGCTTCTGGGCTCCCTTTCAGTCGTCTTTGCTTCAATTCTACATGAGACTTCAGTTCTGTTTCCTGCCTCAACCTGCACAGAACTGTTCTGAGAGGTTTTGTAATAAAAAGCACTAAAAGCTCATGTGCACTGTTCTTGACTTTGCAGCAGAATACAAGCTTATGCCTAAATAAATACAATGCAAAATATAATGCTCATTTTATATTAGAAGGATTATGTATTTACTTATGCTTTACATATATGGACTGAACTGTCACTGTCACAGCCAGCATTATCTCAGGAAGAAGATAATATGGAAGGTGTGACACAAACACCCACCAACACCTATTTGCTCCCTAGAAGTCACAATGCCTCACTGACTCCATGTGCATGCAAGCCCTTCCCACACAAGGCAGAGAAAGTACAGCCTGCACCAGCCTCCCCTGTATCTCACCATTGAAATGGAGGGTGTTTGGTTGTGTCTAGATTGAACATTTGTTTTACATCACAAATTCTGAAGTGAATCTCCCAAGTATCTTCACTTACTGTGCTTTAGTTTAGTCTTAGTGCAAAAAAATTGATTCTTTTCAGACAAAACTGCACCAGAAGATGCACTCCCAGAAGGCAACTAACACATCCCAACTGGTGAAAAGCTGTAGCTGTCAGAAACATCCAGTCTCTGGAACAAGCACCAAGGTCAGGAAAGGACAGGCAGCTCAGATGATGGCTTGGCTGCAGGTGATCATATACCACAGGAAACAGACAGCAAGTACTATGGACAGTGCAATGCCACAGCCATACTTTGCAAAACCAACATTATTTGGTAAGTACAGCTGTAAACACCTTATAGCTGTCAATATGGCAGGGAAGGAAGATATAACTCTATAAGGAGTGCCTAGTGACGGATGAAAGAGAGAAAACATAAGAGCAAAGATGAGCTGTTCGGCATCGCACTGCTCGCCGATGAGGTTTAAAGGGGCATTCTTAGCAATTCACCTTCTCCATCATTGTACCAACTACACCATGCACAAAGACCTCAAAATCTGGCAAAATTTGACACTGAATTTGCAATAGGGTAGAGCATTGATCATGATCTTTTGCACATTACCTTCCCTAAGTATAACCACCCTTCAGGCTCCACTTAGCACAACCTCTCACATCTAAGAACAAGGCTCAACACCACAAAGTGACCACAGCTAAGGCTTGCTCCAAAGCATATCTCTATACTGCCAGAAACCATCAAGAATAAGAATCTCATTAGAACTGGATTTCACTACACTGACTGCCCATTGATCAAATCCAGCAGAAAGCTAGTGGATGGATTTTGAATGCCTTTAATCAAACTGCCTTTAATGGAACTATCATCTTTCATAATGAAATCTTCACAACCCAGCTTCACTTTAACAAAAAAATGAAGCTGTCAAAAAGAAAATCTTTTCATGGAAGCGAAGCCAAGATGACTCAAGAGCAGCCACCAGTATTGCTGGATTTGAAAGAAGATTGAAAATAAATAAAACACTTCCTGATTCAAAACACTGAATTTCAAACTAGCATTTCTCAATTCTTCATTAAACTGGAAGAACTTTATGTAAATTCTCTCTGTAATGTGAGAGCATATGGAACAGGCTGCTGCAGCAAAAATGCAGCTGATATCCAAGGAGAGGAACAGAGGCTAAACAGAAATCTGAAGGCACACAGCTCATGGCTAAAGTATGGCTATAAATACTGAAGAAGTAGAAGTAACTTATTTAAGTAAGTAGAATAACTTATTTCTGTTGATTTTTTCTACACCTATAAATATGTAATTCTTCCATAATTCACATCTTTTGCAAGTCTTGGTTGTTGGCATAATTACCTCTCCAGATTCAGATATCTTATCTTTCGTCATTTCAGTCTTCTGTGTTTTATCACAGAAAATCCAGGATCCTTATTCTCAACTTCACCACCTTCCATGATTTACACTCTGCATGAAAGTCTACTTTCTGTCTCTTTGCCTGTATTAAGCTAGTTTTTTCCCTGGACTATTTTTTCATCTGTTTCTGTGTGTGTGCTTCAGACTTCCACCATTTTTTACTCCAGGAACAGATCTGCTTCTGCTATAAAACTCCTTAACCAGGCTCATAAGTAAGTCCTCCAGCTTTGTGTTGTCAATTTGTGTTCTTCAGGAAACAAATAGTATCTTTCTGCACTTCAAAGAATGGCCAGGTCCTTAGAGTAACTTGCAGAATAGAACTGCTTTCAGACCCAAATCACAGTAGCTTTTTTCACAGTTAAGGCAAGATACGATCCTCACTAAAATTAGCTGCTGCAGTAAATGATACTGGTTTTTGTGTTCTACCACATCAAGTTAATGCTAAAAATACTACAAGAAAATAAGGACCCAGACTACTCATTTCTGAGTTGCCTAAAGCTGAAATAGATAGCTTTGCTTATCCTGCTGATAAACAGCTGAAGCAGATAATCTTTAACACAGCAAGTATTGCTTTTATTACTCAAAACAAGATAACCTCTGCTTAGCTTTAACAAAGGACTCCTGGACTGACTTAGTCATCGCTGATACCAGTGGGAACAAAGAGGGCTCTTCTCCTCTAACAAAAGAATTATCTTTTTAAGAATGGGAGAAAAATACAGAGTGCCAGGGAAAAGTCACTGCATTTTTTAAATGAATGCCATCTAAAAAGAGTAAGCCGGCCTAGAATATGAAAATCTACTTTCAACAAAGTTTGATTAACTGAAATATTCAATAACTGGATTTCTGTCTTAGTTTTATTTCTAGGTCCTTTTCTTTCTACACTTACTTTCATTAAAAAAAAAAGTATTCTATCTCTACATTCAAAAACCAGTTTCAAAGCAGTAAAGTGAAAATTACAGTACCTAAGAACATGCTCACTCTCTAGAAGGCAACTGGCAAAGATCTTGTGATTATGACAAACTGTGATCGAGAGCAAAAGATGGATTTCAATAGCTGTAAGAATAAAAGTAATTACTCAACCTATTATAATATCTTTTAACTTAGACAGTTTTTTGATAATAGACTTTGCTTCTATGACATTATACTAATCTAACTGAAAGTATAGAAAAATCTTAAGAGGATTCTTTTTCTCTGCTAATATTAAAATGTGTGCAATAAATGGATTCTAATAGAGGCCTTTTTAGTAAGCTATGCTACAGATATCCTCCAAACTGTTCATATGCTTTAACAGAATATATGGATTATGTGTACAGTGAGAAAATAAAAACTGACCACAGTAAAAAAATTAAGAAATTGCCACAGATGAACAGCTGTCAATATAGAAAATGTAGAACTGTTCTGTTCAAAAAAGAGGAAAAATACAATAAAAGCTCCCCAAGCAGAAGACACCTGTGCAATATAAAGCAGTTTAATTGAACACCAGCTTCCAGTACAGATCAGCACAACTGGGATAACATTGTTTTGCTGTCCCTTGGATGCAATATATCTCAATACCGTAATAACCAAACCAACAAGCTTTTGTTAATT